CTCCTTTAAGCACATGGTCAGCAATGACGCATGTAGTGGAAGCTGATCACAGGGTCTGAAGGGAGACTATCCATATTTTTTCAGTGCTAATTTTCTGTATGTTGCGCGTAATGACAACATTTTCAGGGACATTTTTAAATCTAAATTTTTCAGATATTTACTTCATATATTCATGTAAATTGAGAAATAATTGTACCATTCATGCATATTCTTTAAAACTGACTGAAAGATACATAATGATATTCAATTTTGAAGTTTTGACACCCAAAAATGCAAAAGAGGTTGGAGCTTGGGACATGCCTAATTAACGTGATTGCCCATCTTCATCTGTAATTTTCCAAAATTAAGCCAGGAAAATAATATCTTTTATTTAGTGATTAGTATGCTTAGTACCATATATCTATAAACAAAGGCAATTTTCAGTAAATTATTTCATGCAATAACAAAATTGAGCGTAAGGTCAGTGGGGACAGCAAATTGCCATTTTCTGTAGAATGACCCGCATAATGCCTGTATTGTGTTGGGTGTACAATGTAAATATCATCATGAGCATAATTATAATATGGCAGATGACTAGATAAAGGCTAATCTTGGCTCACTTGGACAAATTACATCCCTTGGTCAAACTAAAACACTCCGTTAAACTACATCACTTAGTCAAACTAAAACACTTGATCAAACTACATCTCTTAGTGAAACTAAAAGACTTGGTCAAAATGCATAGCTTAGTCCAACTAAAACACTCGGTCAAAATACATCCCTTGGTCTAACTAAAACACTTGGTCAAAATACATCACTTAGTCAAACTAAAACACTCAGTGAAACTACTGTTGTACACATATAATATTGCTGATGCACATATGTTCATATGTAATATTGCTGTTCTACAAATATGATATTGCTGTTGTGCATTTGTAATATTGCTGTCGTAGATATGTAATATTGCTGTCGTAGATATGTAATATTGCTGTCGTAGATATGTAATACTGCTGTTCTACATATGTGATATTGCTGTTGTGCATTTGTAATATTGCTGTCGTAGATATGTAATATTGCTGTCGTAGATATGTAATATTGCTGTCGTAGATATGTAATATTGCTGTCGTAGATATGTAATATTGCTGTCGTAGATATGTAATATTGCTGTCGTAGATATGTAATACTGCTGTCGTAGATATGTAATATTGCTGTTATACATGCGTAATATTGCTGTTATACATACGTAATGTTGTCATGAAACAGATGCAGTATTGATGATGCTATCAAATTGATGAATTGTGATATCAATAAATATGACTCTGATATTGCTCAAGCTTCAATATTGCTGAGGTTGGGATGTAATATTGCTGACATTGAGATGTATTATTGCTGACATTGAGATGTGATATTGCTGAGGTTGGGATGTAATATTGCTGAGATTGAAATGTAATATTGCTGAGATTGAGATGTAATATTGCTGTGGTATGCACTAGTGGTGGTACAATTAATTGAAATAATCGAAGATTGGTCGTAGTGACTAAACGACCAAGCAATCGATCATAATTTCTCATAATCGAACACAACAAATTCTGGAACACTTGTTTTCATTAAAAATATTTTTCCCATGGTTGGTTTTGTCTGTTACATTTCATAAAGCACTACAAGCTCATTTCAAGTCATGATTGAATTTATCTTAAAGATTCCAAGAAATTTATGTTCCTAACATACTAGTCATCCTTTAAAGATGTGAAATTTTGCCAAACCCCCAAAAGAACACCATTTTTTCCCCTTATTTTTATGTGCATCAACAAATTTCATAAATAACGCTAACCAATTATTTTCGATGATTGATCGGTAGTAATGAACCAATCATCAATTATGAGATTTTAACCAATTCCCAACACTAGCATGCACCCATCCTACCTCCACCCCAGTCAGTATGTACAGCTTGCCCCCCATGTGTCAGATTATGTCATGGTGTGTGTTGTATGGTGTGTGTTGTACTGGCACAGCGCCAACACCGTGAGATTCTAGACGCCATGCCCTGCACTTCAGGAATGGCAGTGGGCCTGTATAATGTCAAGTTTCTGCACTGTTTTCTTCAGTCTTCTGAAGAATATGGTAGTAATATACCTGTTAAACAAAACAGCAGCGGAACTGGGCGACGCTTTGATCAACATGTGCACCTTTCACTGCGTCATAAGCATGATGTAATTGAGGTATTTGAGAGCATAATGCACGCATGGGTGTAGAATTTCCTGATTCATTTGGAGAACTTGGTAACTGAACTATTTGGTTCACAAATTTAGTTTGAACAAAGCTATGGTTAGGCTGCCCCGTAATATTTTCTGTGTCCCCATCTCCCTCCAGCCGTGAATTTTCATTCATATGCCAAACAATAAAATCTTTTCTTCAATAATTTTAAATTTAAAGTCTCATGTGAGAAAGAATACGCTTACTCTTGCACCGGTCAACTCAATCTTCCTATATCTATATTTTTAGAAAATATGTTTCCAAAGCAAGACAACCAGTTTTGCATCATAAATCAATTTAGAGACATATACCAAGTGAAATAATAATAATATTTACACAATAAGTGGAAAACATTGCACAAATTAAAAATAAAACATATTATTATACCAATTTTTTATTTTACATATTTTTGTCCCAAAACCTAAAGGCAGGAGGGAAAAAAATAAATAAAAAAGATCCCAGTCAAAGCAAAATGCACATGAGATTCCATGCTAACTCTTTTGGTTTGTTTATATCAACTAAAATTAAGTTGATTGTGTTTAGGTTTCACCCTGAGTTCAAGAATATTTTACTTATATCACATTAACATTTTATTTTTTGTGTGGGGAAAATTAATTTTTGAACATTGTTCTGCTTAGGTCTGTGTTCAAGTGATGCTAAAGTTAAAGCACAAAGAATTGTAGTAACTGAAATACATGTACCTCATGCAGTTATGGATGGCCATGTACCGAACGGCAGTGGGGTGGCCTAATGGTCATCTAGGTTTCTTGTTGTGCTGAAGACCCAGGTTCGATTCCATTAATGGATAAAATGTGTGAAGCCCATTTCTTGTGTCCCCCATATTATATTGCTGTAATATTGCTAAAATCAATGTAAAACTTTACTCCCTTCGCATTTGGGCATATGTGTTAACATGGACAGACACACAGACAGAGTCCGACTGACCGACAGACAAAGGCCTCTGACCTACAAAAGCATGATGATGCTTTTTGTAAAAACTCTACAGTGAATACGATGAATACTGAAGATTTTTGTTAGGAAATTATTTCAAGGCTCGAATAAATTCCAGTGCATTTCTCATGTTCGTGATGTTACCCGAGAGGTTATATTTATTTAGTGTAGCTAGGGTGTAATATATGGTACCTGTCAGCTACATCCCATCCCATCATGCATTGCTGCCATAATAAAAGATGACATTATTCGCTTTGGACCATGATGATGTCACAGACGATTTTAAGTGATACAATTGAAACTTTGTCATGTTAAGGTAGTTCAGTTTAAAAATATTAATTAAAAGTTATTTTCAAGTAAGCTATTTTGAACTTATTTTCTATACTTTTTAGGGAATATTGTGTTATGGATATATTTGTCCGCGCCGCAACACGGAACGGGGGACTATGTATGCAGCGGCGTCCGTCCGTACGGTTGTCCGTATGTACGTCCCAATTCTTAACCTTATCTTCAAGGTCACCAAGACACTTTGAACACTTTTCAAAGTGTTGTTAACATATGACATCTCACGAACTGTTGTATCCAATGTCTTCAAATTTGGTGACAGCCTACATTGGGGGGATTACGCAGACATCAGTCGACTTGAGTGACCCTGACCTTATTTTCAAGGTCACCATGACACTTTGACCACTTTTCAAACTCTTGTTAACGTGATATCTCATGAACTGTTGTACCCAATGTCTTCAAAATTTGGTGACAGCCTACATTTGGGGATTACACAAACACCAAGTGATTTGGGTGAGCAAAAAATAAAAAGTAGTAAATATGTTATGAATATTCCATTCTTTAGCGGCGGGGGACATTGCCATATTAATGGCAAACACTTGTTAAGGTTTATGCCCTCTGTGGCACTTCGCTCTGAAAAGAAAGTGAATTAACAAATATTAACACATAGCACCATGTGTATACATTGTTCATTACATACAATTCTTATCTGTGTGAGATGACAATGGGATCGTGTGTTAGCCTAATGGTTGTAGCATTAGCTTGTCATGTTGAAGACCCGGGTTTGATTCCCCACATGGGTACAATGTGTTGAGCCCATTTGTGGTATAAACTGCTTCTATTGTTAGAAAATTGCTAAAAGCAACATAAATCCGACTAACTCACATACATCATTATGATTATGTAAGACACTAATGGCCACTTACCCACTGACAGACAAAAATAAAATGTAAAAAATATTAGAAAATGATTTGGTTACTAATACACAGGGCTCCAGATAATTTTTCAACATGTGGAGTACATACTCCTTATTTTTTCAATACAGGAGTACGGAAAAAAGTTAGAGTACATTTAGAGTACTGAATGGAATTTAATGGCGTACCAGTAATCTTGTGTTTCGTTTCATATATGCACCACAACATTGCTACTCTTGTGTAAACAGGTCAATAAACAATAAAACATAACTTTTTCAGATAAATACGTCTGTAAATGATTCTAAGACCGTACACCATTGCCGTGGTGCGTATCTGCTACGTTTTCTAAATTATTTCCTTTCGTATCGTGTATATTTTTTATCCGTACATACGCCAGTACGGCCCTTATCTGGAGCCGTGATTCATTTTAGCTCACCTGGATGGCAACAAGGTGGTGGGGTAGCCAATTGGTTATAGTGTTAGCTCGTCATGCCAAAGATCTGGGTTTGTTTCCCCACTTGTGTACAATATGTGAAGCCCATTTATGGTGTCCCAACTATAACATTGAGGTTTGTAGTGGTACGTGGGAGCTCACCTGGAACTGTTGGTTTGTTTCAGATGAAGGACTGTTTGGTGTTGATGCTTGTGGTGCTGGTGCTGGCGGTCGGTCTTCAGTCAGCAGAGGCAGACAAGAAGGTAAGGACTGTCTGATATTCAAGATTGGTTTGTACATCACACAATACAATACTGACAAGAATTTAGTGTTTCCAGATATTTTTTTTTTAATTTCCGATATTATGGGATTTTTTATAGCGCACATATCCACACAACTAGTACATGCTCAAGGCGCTGGAGTGTCTTTTTTTTCTGGCATTCTATTTTTTTGGACCAATTCAACTTCCTGGGGAGTATTCACAGCGAATTATCACACAGCCTCATCCTCACAAGGTATCAAATAACTCCAATACAGATTTATACATCACTTGATAAAGTATTATCAAGGACTTTAATGTCATCAGCTCTATTAATCACTTAAAATGTACTGATAGTGACTTTAATGTCATCAGGTCTATACATCAGTTGATTAAGTATTATCAGGTCTATTGGAGCGGGGGCGGTGGGGTAGCCTAGTGGTTAAAGCGTTGGCTCGTCACGCGCCGAAGATCCGGGTTCGAATCCCCACATGGTTACAATGTGTGAAGCCCATTTCTGGTGTCCCCCGCCGTGATGTTGCTGGAATATTGCTAAAAGCGGCGTAAAACCAAACTCAGTATATTGGAGCGGAAGGGTAGCCTAGTGGTTAAAGTATTCGCTTGTAATGCTGAAGGCCCGGGTTCGATTCCCCTTATGTGTACAATGTGTGAATCCCATTTCTGGTGTCCCTCGCCATGATATTGCAGGAATATTGCTACAAGTGGTGTAAAACTATATTCACTCATTCTCAGGTCTACTCATCACTTAAAATGAATTGACAATGACTTTAATGTCTCTAACCCATGAAGATCCGGGTTAGAAGTGATCTCCAGTAACCCAAGCTTGTCGTAAGAGGCGACTAACAGGATAGGGCGAACTAAACAATTATGTTTTTGCCCACAGTGTGTTATTTCAAAGAACATGCAGTCCACTGAATTAAACCTTATGTTTTGTCACACAGCACGATAATATTTCCCCTGCATGTTTTGGAACAGGGAAATTTCTTTGAAGTAGAAGTAGCCTCCACAGTTTTGTTTCGTCAGTGTAAATCAGTTTCCAATAATTTGGAATGTAAAAAATTGAAAATGTAAATGTATCTTTGTAACTTAACATTTATGTGTATTTTATGTTTCAGTCTGGCGGACATCGAAGTAAGTGAGCCCGACTTGTATTCTGACTCTTTTTGTTGTTTGTTTATTAAAAGTTTCATTTGATTGCCGGTAGTGATTAACAGGCTGTGGATCAACACAAACAATTCAGCAGTGCTGTATAATTTCCCAGTGCTCAAATATAGAAACCGATTGTTTTTAGGACATGTATGGAGTTCAAGTTACAGATTACACATAAACATTCGTTTTCCTTAGACTTCTTCAGAAACGTTATATGTTTTGGTTTTTTAAAATCCCTAAAGAAGCAAAAAAATGGTGACAACAGGGAACAAAATACTGCTTAATTTATGTGCCATAGCAGGGTAAATATTGAAATGGTACAGATCAATTATTTTCAGTGATAGATAGATATTCTTTACATTACGACATCACGACTAAATTATAAAAATATTACTCACCATTATATATTTAACAGAAAATGCAATAAATTTGACCAACTCAAATGATTCAAAACCTTTTTTTGCTCTTCACGAAACTGTTTATTCATGGCTTTCTCAATCTCCTAGATTAACATGGGTGTGGCCATTTTGAATGCCAACGCGCATAACAGGAAATCATGTTTAGTATGATAACATAGAGGAACTATTCTTGCAGTCTCAATAGTATTTAGGAAATCCAGCTTTCAAGTTTACAGGTTTACATGATGTTTACTGATTAATTAAACAATAGAATGAAATGGCATAATTGTTGTGATGTTTTAGGTTAATTGCTTCATTGATAGGTATGGGCACAGTTATTGTCACAAAGGCACACCTAAATTATCAATCTGGTGCCCAGTGGCACACTTCGGAAATATAGCATTGCTAATCCCTGGTTGTAGTTTGTCCAAGATGTGTAGTTTGATCAAGGGTGTAGTTTGACCAAGGATAGTAGTTTGACCAATGGTTGTAGTATGACCAAGGGGTGTAGTTTGATCTAGGGGTGTAGTTTGACCAAGGGTTGTAGTTTGACCAAGGGGTGTAGTTTGACCAAGGGTTGTAGTTTGACCAAGGGTTGTAGTTTGACCAAGGGGTGTAGTTTGACCAAGGGGTGTAGTTTGATCAAGGGGTGTAGTTTGACCAAGGGGTGTAGTTTGATCAAGGGGTGTAGTTTGATCAAGGGGTGTAGTTTGTCCAAGCTGTGTAGTTTGATCAAGGGGTGTAGTTTGATCAAGGAGTGTAGTTTGTCCAAGCTGTGTAGTTTGATCAAGGAGTGTAGTTTGATCAAGGGGTGTAGTTTGTCCAAGCTGTGTAGTTTGATCAAGGGGTGTAGTTTGACCAAGGGGTGTAGTTTGTCCAAGCTGTGTAGTTTGACCAAGGGGTGTAGTTTGATCAAGGGGTGTAGGTTGACCAAGGGGTGTAGTTTGTCCAAGCTGTGTAGTTTGATCAAGGGGTGTAGTTTGTCCAAGCTGTGTATTTTGATCAAGGGGTGTAGTTTGACCAAGGGGTGTAGTTTGATCAAGGGGTGTAGGTTGACCAAGGGTTGTAGTTTGACCAAGGGGTGTAGTTTGATCTAGGGGTTTAGTTTGACCAAGGGGTGTAGTTTGATCAAGGGGTGTAGTTTGATCAAGGGGTGTAGTTTGTCCAAGCTGTGTAGTTTGATCAAGGGGTGTAGTTTGTCCAAGCTGTGTAGTTTGATCAAGGGGTGTAGTTTGACCAAGGGGTGTAGTTTGATCAAGGGTTGTAGGTTGACCAAGGGTTGTAGTTTGACCAAGGGGTGTAGTTTGACCGAGGGGTGTAGTTTGACCAAGGGGTGTAGTTTGACCAAGGGTTGTAGTTTGACCAAGGGGTGTAGTTTGATCAAGGGGTGTAGTTTGTCCAAGCTGTGTAGCTTGATCAAGGGGTGTAGTTTGACCAAGGGGTGTAGTTTGACCAAGGGTTGTAGTTTGACCAAGGGGTGTAGTTTGACCAAAGGATGTAGTTTGATCAAGGGTGTAGTTTGATCAAGGGGTGTAGTTTGTCCAAGCTGTGTAGTTTGATCAAGGGGTGTAGTTTGTCCAAGCTGTGTAGTTTGATCAAGGAGTGTAGTTTGATCAAGGGGTGTAGTTTGATCAAGGGGTATAGTTTGATCAAGGGGTGTAGTTTGACCAAGGGTTGTAGTTTGACCAAGGTGTGTAGTTTGACCAAGGGGTGTAGGTTGATCAAGGGGTGTAGTTTGACCAAGGGGTGTAGTTTGACCAAGGGGTGTAGTTTGATCACTGACTGACTGACTGAGTTTGGTTTTACGCCGCTTTTAGCAATATTCCAACAACATCACGGCGGGGGACATCAGAAATGGGCTTCACACATTGTGCCCATGTGGGGATTCGAACCCGGGTCTTTGGCGAGTAGTTTGATCAAGGGATGTAGTTTGACCAAGGGGTATAGTTTGACCAAGGGGTATAGTTTGACCAAGGGTGTAGTTTGATCAAGGGGTGTAGTTTGACCAAGGGGTGTAGTTTGACCAAGGGTGTAGTTTGATCAAGGGGTGTAGTTTGACCAAGGGGTGTAGTTTGATCAAGGGGTGTAGTTTGATCAAGGGGTGTATTTTGATCAAGGGGTGTATTTTGATCAAGGGGTATTGCTTGACAAAGGGGTGTAGTTTGACCAAGGGATGTAGTTTGACCAAGGCATAAAGTTTAGCATTCTTTGAAAAACTTGCATTCCTATCCCTGGACAAACTTTACCAGCTCCTTTTCTGAGTACCTGAAGCTAAGCACACAAACCCCTGTTCGGCACCAAATGTCACGTCATAAAAACATTTTTGGTCACATAAAGCTAAAGTTATTATGTTAAAAAACCAGTACTAAACACTCAAATACATGGTCAGTTTTATTTACTAGATTGATAAACACAAAAATGGCACAGAAAATCTTACACACAGAACCGCACTCACTTTGTTAAATAAACAGTATAATGTTAATGAATATTATGGTCATGAATTTTATTTCTTTGAGTGGCATTTTAGAAGTTGGAAAGTACAATCTTAAACAGACTTTATGGATAACAACTTCTTTTATTTCGTGAGTGATTGTCAAGCTTGACAGTGGTACAAGAATCTATATCGAGACGTTTTTTAATAATGAATTATATTTTGTTCATGAATTTTATAGTGTTCATGAATTTTATTGTGTTCATAAATTTGATCACAGCCGTGATTATGTGACTGCATCTTAACAACAAAGGACTCAAGTAAAATAGTTTTAAAGAAACACTATGGCTCTTATTCAAGAACTCAAAATCAATGTGGGATATTTACATCCAAGTGTCCTAAGGTATTCAGAGGGTAAGGCTGATCAATCATAGTTATTCTCGAATGGATTCATGAGGGACGGCATAATGAGACATAATCGGGGCACTTGTCAGATCTCGTTTCAGATCATTGTTAGACATTAGAACCGTCAAAATTCTTTACATTGAAAAATAAAACAGGTAATGTTTTAGATTACAGTTTCTTAGAGAAGTAAAATTCAAGTACTTTTGTAGCTCAGATCACTGTGAGAGAATTTGCTGTGACTACAGGCACTATATTTTGGTGATGTTTTGTTCACTGAGAACCAAACTATTCCAATCCAAAGGTCCACACTGTTACCATCAAAATTCTTTTCTTTGAAAAATAAAAGAGGTAATGTTTTGGATTACAGTTTCTTTTAGAAGTAAAATTAAAGTACTTTGGGGTGTTGATTCCATGTTGGGATTTAAACCCATTATTTCTCAGAGTGAAGCACCTAATTCTCACGGAGAGACCCATGAAGACCCTTCATCGTATCCCAGTTGCGTAGATCGATGCACATGCTGTTGATCACTGGATTTCTGGTCCAGACTCGATTATTTACAGACTGCTGCCATATAGCTGGAATATTGCTGTGTGCAGCGTAAAACTCACTCTCCCATCTGGTGTGGAAATAGGGCTATGACTAGTGGTGGTGTTCCGATGATCGAAAATAATCGAAAATCGATCGAAAGGAGGATTAAACATGATTATCGATTGTAAAAAAACATATTTTCGATTAATTGGAATTTTGTTGTTTTAGTTTAACACACTTGAATGAAGTAAGCTAGCGATTAAATTTGACGAATATCCATGTGCTGAACAGCGTTTAAAGCCATGCGCATTGTAAAATTTTAACTGCTTTTATTGTTTGATTACAATTCCAGTGTCTTTCTCGCATGCATGATTTCATTGCATTACAGTATTAGTTATAAGAAACATTTATTAGAAAAAACTTAGGGAAAAAAACTTCAAATTCGTGATTTCATTAAAAATGTATATATTTCGATTATAATCGATAATCGTTCACCACAATCCTCCGATAATCGATAGTGGGTTTGCTTTCTGATTCCCAACACTAACGACTGGTGCCTCAACACCAAAAATGCCACAAAACTCTCAAACCCAGCTCACTCACTCACTCTGATCCTGTTTTAACACCATAGCCTAAGTTTTAACCCAAGGATGAATGCATCCGAAATACAAGCCCCAGCAAACGTCAGACGATTCAAATTGATCAGCACTCTACACAAGATGAACGTCAATTAGGTACAGATATTACACATCGATTGGGTTTTCAGTCAACATCATTTTGCAATTATCTCAATCAATCCGAGAACCACAGTTATTGTTTGCATATTCAATCACACCAAGAGCTGAGCTCATATCATGCATATTGTGGTTTTCCCATACTCAAATGAAAGGCAAATATGGCCGCAGTCAGACAAGTTTATGCCGCAAATCAATAACATTGGTTAGACCTTCATTGCTGTGTAATTTCCTCGATCTCGTTTTGTAGCAAGATCTTTTGATTCAGACCCAAAATCTATAAAGCATTCCTAAGTCGTATTTTACCGATGATTTATCATGGTGGGACTATTGTTTTAGCCTGGCAGAAATATTATCAGTATTGGCTCTGTGAATTAAGTTGATATAAGTGCTTAGGTGAATATTATTAAGAGGTCGATAGATTTCTGAATAAAGCCGATTTCATGGGGGACTTTGTGGAATGGTTTTGTGGAATCGTCTGTTCCAGAACATGATTGTGCAAATACTTGGGTAGAAGTAATAGGATTACAACAGTTGGACTTCATTTATCAAGCTGTTTTGATGTTGTTTTTATTTTTCATTTTTTGGGAAAATTACAGTGTTTTATCATAGTTGGACTATAGTGGGGTTTGGGGTTTGTTTAGATTTTGTTAGGCAGGCCAATGGTATTTTCCTCTACAGATATATACCAAATCTATTAGGTTTGTGAAAATTGTTAAACATGAAATATTTGATTAAAATTATGCAGACAGGTACTCTGATAATTTATTCAGTAGCACCCACCAGTTGGTAGTTAGATTAACAGGACATTGATATTTGAGTCATGTATTAAACTACATGTATTTCATGTAAAATAAGTATCAACAGGCAAAGCATACGACTCTATGGTTAACAATATCTAGTATTTTGCTTAGAGTAAAGTTTTTTATGTAGATTCTTACACCGTTATCAAGCTATATATTGAGCATATTCAGGAAAGCAGATCAAACAAATTAAATAGCACGTCCCTCCTAACATGTTACCTCTTCGTGATTGTATATAAGTAGAATTGTAATATGCTATGCCTTGTAAAACAGGGGTGGAAGTAACTTTAAAATTGAGAGTGTACTCCGGTATGAGTCCAGTGGGTTTTTTTGTCGGGCAAGCAAATTTGTATATCACACTGTACTTAAGTCAGGAGGCAGAGAGTTCAGCTGCATACCGAAAGGACATGGCACCACTTTCTCAGAAAACGGCATTCTGTATTCATGGCAATGTTTATTCATCTTATCCTCACTTTGCACTCTTACTTCTGCATGCCTCTCAAAGAAGAACATATTGGTTTCTAAGTCACAGACTTTATCACAGATCTCCTTTTAACTGAGTCAAACCACATTCTCACGAAAAAAGATTTTCATCAACAATATATCTTGTGAATAGACTAACAGTACAAGTTTCAGTTCAAGTGTTATGTTAACCTTGAAGGCTATTCAAAGGTATGAAAGCTGTGTGAATATGATGAATGCATTCCAGGGTTACCTAGCGTTCTAAGGAACTATATACAAAGAGTAACTGAAGTGTGACCCATATTTCATCGTGGGAGTGATTGTCGTACAACTGACACCTTACAAATCTGTATAGTAGAGTAGTTGATCTTAATATGTTAAGCTATTCACATGGACACTACGCTAGTGTCACTGATTTGGTTTCTAGAGTGTGTCTGGAATTTTGTATTTTATACTGGTGCAGAAAGTGTATTTTATTTTTTAGTGATAGTATAAATCATTGCAGGAATTAGAATGTCAATAGTATTAGGGTCATTCTGGATGGCTTACTGCTAGTGTAAGTTTGTTATTTAGCATTGCACTTAGCAATAGTTCAGAAATATGGTGGGGGAACAACAGAAATGTGATTCATACTTTATACCAATATTGGGACTCAAACCTGGACCTTTGGCATGATGAGTGAACACTTTAACCACTAGACTACCAAGTTCATGAGACAGAATTACAGAAAGTATAATTGTATTGTTTTGTGCCGATACAAGAAATGGTGTTAAGATATATGTACCGTTTGATAGCCTCTCAGTGCACTGAATGCACGATGAATCTTGACATCCAAGCGACAGTTACGACAATAATCTTGACGGTATTGAATTAAATGCTGTGTTGAAATACTAGTAAGCGGATAAAATGCCACTGATTGAACTTCCGACTCTAAAAACAATTTTCTTTTAACAATTTTCCTGGCAAGGACACTTTTTGATGTTTTAATCCTTAGGCCAGACCAATTTTATTTCTTGTTTTATGAAGCCGCTAGTCATATTTTTTCAAGAATAAGAAAATATAATAGAAATAAAGTTTCCCCACTCAAGAAATAAAATCCTGATGTTAATGTGATATATAAGTGAAATACTCTTGAAATTAGTGTGAGACCTAAACTCACTCAACTTATTTTTAATTGATGTAAACAAACCAAAAGAGTTAATATGGAAACTCATGTGGAATTTTGCTTTGACTGATGATTTCTCGTTTGCTTTTTCCCCTCCTGCCTTTAGGTTTTCTGAGGACAAAAATCCTTAAACCAAGAAACAAAATTGGTCTGGCCTTAGGTAAATATCTTTAAGTGATCAACAAGGGCTCAAGTGAAAATTTATTCTGCTAAGGAACCCTTATTCAAAAAGCGATCATTTCATTTATGGTATGTCTACATTGAAGTGTTGTAATGCCGATTGTCAATCTAATATCATCCAATTAAGACCAATAGCCTGTTAATCCAATGTTTTCTGCATAATTTAGCCTCCCTCAAGGTTCCCTCTTTATTGCTTCCATTTTGTGCCAAGTTCCTTATTCCTTATGTCACCTGGTTGTAGTCATAATTACCATTGTGTCATATTGGTTTGAGTGTGTTACAGTTGTCTCCCTTTCCTCCAGTTATCTCCCTTGTGTTGCCTTCTCAGATTAGTGAATGCAGTGTTCAGGTAAAAGATCTGTGATGAGACCTGTAGTTCTGTACTTTATGATGATTATTATGAAAAGAACTATAATCATGATAATCCTGATATAGTATAACATTAACATGGCAATTATATTCAGTGTGCAAAATTTACGCTTGTCCTGTGGTCCCTGGCTAGTAAGAACTCATCAGGACCACTAATTGATAAGTATGCAGTGGTCGGTGGCCAGTGAATTTTGTATTGTTAGTTAAGTAAATCTACGAGTGTTGTTGTTAAGATCAACAGTTCTATTCTGTATCAGAGATGTCCTACTGTTTATTCACTAATGATCATTTTGTTTGATAGAAGTCTGATAACAGTTTGGCAAAATATTCCAATATTAGTGTTGTTGGTTTCCAAAATTTCAACCCGTGAAGATCCGGGTTAAAATATTGATCTTTCTTTTTTCTTTTTTTTCTTTGATTGATCTTCATGCTGTTGATCACTGGATTGTCTGGTCCAGACTTGATTAATTACAGACTGCCGCCATATAGAGGGAATATTGCTGAGTGCAGCGTACAACTCAACTCACTCACTCACTCTAAACTTTCACTTTGTATTGCATAAATCACTTCTATTTTCCAGTAAATTGTGTATATCATTATTGAGGTCTATGTTCATCTTTCAGTTTCTGTGATATAATATACAGTCTGTTGAAAGTTGTATTGAATACAAAAGACAAGTTAGAACCATTTAGTTGTAACACTGCAACAAGAAGGAATAGAATATCTGAGTTAATACTTTAACGCACATCGTCAGTATTTCAGCCATATAGAGAATAACTGAACACTGCCTTGTCCCATTAGAATACGTCTTTGTGTTATAGTGAAACCTCATTAATCTGGACCCTGCCTATCTGGACAGACAACCTTCTGGAATATTACCTTGTAAAACAGCCTTGACATTAGTTGATACAAAGCAGGGTTTTACACGACAAATGTGTGTCCAGTACATTGAAATGTCGAGAATGCACACAGAAAACAATTCACTAATGGATGCATAATATTATCTACTGTACCCACAACACATCTATGACTTTTAAAGTGTTTGGTTGTTTCTTGCAGAGCAGTTACGTGCATCATTTCATCCATCACTCCACATTATCAATGATTCATTCCAGACTTACTAAAGAAATTATCGAAACGTACAGTTCTCTACACCATTACTTCACAGGGCCCTCATAGTGCCTGCAAGCACCCCTAAAACTAATACTTAGGGTCCTATGTTTGTGAGTCGAGGTAAAACCCTGTATAAAGTAATCATGATTCCTTATTTTAGAAACGCAGGAAACTAAAGTGTCTGGATTAAAAAAGGTTTTACAGTTGTTGAGTTTTGTTTGATATTTATTTCATTTTTGTGTGATTTTATTTTGTTATTTGATTCTTTTTGTTTGTTTTTCTGCACATGTGTATTTAGGTCGCAAATGTGGCACAAAACGGTGTCGAGCAGGGCAGCAGTGTTCCACGGGGCCTGATGGAGAGAAAACTTGCATTTGCCGCAAAGTTTGTAGTCAGAGAAAATTACTCACGTGTGGAAGTGACGGACGCACGTACTACAACAAGTGTGAACTACACAGAATCGCTTGTGTTGAAGGACGCAAACTTAAAATTAATCACAAAGGAGCTTGTCCAAGTAGGAATCCATTTCACGGTCTTATTTCTGAAAATAAAGATGATTTGCCTTAATTTCATATCTATCTGGCAAGGTATCATGTTGGTTTCTAAGTTAGCATGTGTGCGAGGTGGCCCGGTTTTGTTGGTGATGCATGTTGCATCTCACTGTGTGCTTGGCCTGTAATCTGATCACGTTAATGAATGTTGATGGGATTTCGGTGTGCCAAGAGGTAGTGAATGATATTTGAAACCTGTGCTCTACATGTGGAAAAGTTCAAAATATATACACTGAAGATTTTGTAATTAGTGTAAGTGGCTGACTAAATATTTTTGGAGGAAAGGCAAAATAGTTTGAGCATTAATAATCTTTGTTCTTCACTTGTATTGATTTTGAGTTGTGTGACATGTGTAAAACAAGGATTGATAATCATGTCTGTCAAAACACATTGATGACTACTCACAGTATAACATCAGACAATCCACAGTATGATATCAGACAATCCAGAGTATGACATCAGACAATCCAGAGTATGACATCAGACAATCCACAGAATGAAATCAATCGACAGTATGACATCAGACAGTCCACAGCATGACATCAGACGACAGCATGACATCAGACAATCCACAGTATGACATCAGACAATCCAGAGTATGACATCAGACAATCCAGAGTATGACATCAGACAATCCAGAGTATGACATCAGACAATCCACAGAATGAAATCAATCGACAGTATGACATCAGACAGTCCACAGCATGACATCAGACAACGACAACATGACATCAGACAATCCACAGTATGACATCAGACAATCCACAGTATGACATCAGACAATCCACAATCTGACATCAGACAATCCACAGTATGACATCAGACAATCCTCAGTATGACATCAAACAATCAACGGTATAGCATCAGACAATTAACAGGATGACATCAGACAATCACCAGTATAACATCAGACAATCCACAGTTTAGCATCAGACAATCAACAGTATAACATCAGACAATCCACAGCATAACATCAGACAATCCACAGTATAACATCAGACAATCCACAGGATGACATCAGACAATTAACAGTATAACATCAGACAATTCTCAGTATGACATCAGACAATCACCAGTATAACATCAGACAATTAACAGTATAACATCAGACAATTCTCAGTATGACATCAGACAATCAACAGTATAACATCAGACAATCCACAGTTTAGCATCAGACAATCAACAGTATAACATCAGACAATCCACAGTTTAGCATCAGACAAACCAGTTCAGTCAAAGAACACATTTATTCATGTGAAAAATTAAGTTTAGTCGTTTGAAAGAAATTGGGGTTCTTAACATTCTTTCATGTAGTATATCTATGATGTGTGCAGCATTTGGTAAGTATATTTGAATGATTGCATATTGTGTTATAAATATAAGCAGTACGGGTATATGCATCTGTTTGGCATTACAATATGACTAGTGATGACACTTGAAACAACTCTTCTCATGTCTGTATAACCAGAGTTATCTCCCCTCTCGTAGGCAACAACGATGTTCCTGTGAATGGTGTTGAGAAGAAGTCTGGGAAACAGAATCCCCCCCTGGTGTGTTACCAGGTCCAGAGAGATGAACTGCGACGTCTGCTTGTGGACTGGATCAAGCACAGAGCAGTGTCTGAAGGTACACCATTGACGCTGGTGGAAAATATACAACTGATGCAAAATTATGTTCATATATTAATTACAGGAATACATCAGATCTGGGTTAGAACTGATCTTCAGTAACCTATGCTTGTAGTAAGAAGCGACTTGCAGGATGGGGTCATCAGACTCGCTGACTTGGTTGAAACATGTCATCGTATCCCAACTGTGGAGACTGATGCTCATGCTGTTGATCACTGGATTGTCTGGTCCAGACTCGATTATTTACAGGTAGACCAAACAATGCCCCTCAATAATGCTGTTGTATCGATGGTTGCAGGCAGACCCTTCACTGCCCTTCAGTAATGCTGTTGTATCAATGGTTGCAGGTTGACTATACAATGCCCTCAGTAATGCTGTTGTATCGATGGTTGCAGGTCGACTATACAATGCCCTCAATAATGCTGTTGTATCGATAGTTGCAGGTAGACTATATAATGCCCTTCAGTAATGTTGTTGTATCGATGGTTGCAGGTCGACTATACAATGCCCTTCAGTAATGCTGTTGTATCGATGGTTGCAGGTAGACTATACAATGCCCTTCAGTAATGCTGTTTTATCAATGGTTGCAGGCAGACCCTACAGTGCCCTTCAGTAACGCTGTTGTATCGATGGTTGCAGGTCGACTATACAATGCCCTTCAGTAATGCTGTTGTATCGATGGTTGCAGGCAGACTATACAATGCCCTCAGTAATGCTGTTGTATCGATGGTTGCAGGTAGACTATACAATGCCCTTCAGTAATGCTGTTGTATCGATGGTTGCAGGTCCACTATACAATGCCCTTCAGTAATGCTGTTGTATCGATGGTTGCAGGCAGACTATACAATGCCCTCAGTAATGCTGTTGTATCAATGGTTGCAGGCAGACCCTACAGTGCCCTTCAGTAACGCTGTTGTATCGATGGTTGCAGGTCGACTATACAATGCCCTTCAGTAATGCTGTTGTATCGATGGTTGCAGGCAGACTATACAATGCCCTCAGTAATGCTGTTGTATCGATAGTTGCAGGTCGACTAAAAATGCCCTTCAGTAATGCTTTTGTATCGATGGTTGCAGGTAGACTATACAATGCCCTCAGTAATGCTGTTGTATCGATGGTTGCAGGTCGACTATACAATGCCCTCAGTAATGCTGTTGTATCGATGGTTGCAGGTCCACTATACAATGCCCTCAGTAATGCTGTTGTATCGATGGTTGCAGGTCGACTATACAATGCCCTCAGTAAAGCTGTTGTATCGATGGTTGCAGGTGGACTATACAATGCCCCTGAATAATGCTTTTGTATCGATGGTTGCAGGTCGACTATACAGTGCCCTTCAGTAATGCTGTTGTATCGATGGTTGCAGGTCGACTATACAATGCCCTTCAGTAAAGCTGTTGTATTAATGGTTGCAGGTAGACTATACAGTGCCCTTCAGTAATGCTGTTGTATCGATGGTTGCAGGTCGACTATACAATGCCCTTCAGTAATGCTGTTGTATTAATGGTTGCAGGTAGACCATACAATGCCCTTCAGTAATGCTGTTGTATTGATGGTTGCAGGTAGACCATACAATGCCCTTCAGTAATGCTGTTGTATCGATGGTTGCAGGTAGACCATACAATGCCCTTCAGTAATGCTGTTGTATCGATGGTTGCAGGTAGACCATACAATGCCCTTCAGTAATGCTGTTGTATCAATGGTTGCAGGTAGACCATACAATGCCCTTCATTAATGCTGTTGTATTGATGGTTGCAGGTAGACCATACAATGCCCTTCAGTAATGCTGTTGTATCGATGGTTGCAGGTAGACCATACAATGCCCTTCAGTAATGCTGTTGTATCGATAGTTGCAGGTCGACTATACAATGCCCTTCAGTAACGCTGTTGTATCGATGGTTGCAGGTAGACCGTACAACGCCAGACGGTGAAGCAGCTGTTCCGGGAGTGTGACCACGACAAGAACAGCATTCTGGACGCCGATGAGATGCTGCAGTGCCTGGAGGTGTCCAAGACAGATATCAAGGACACTGATGCACACATTCTTAGGTACGAAAAAAACTACAAGATAGTATATATTTTTCCCACATTTTATGGTATTCAAGCAAATTCAGAGGTGGAACACAAGAAAACGATTTCATGCACAGTACCCATGTATTTGTATGAGCCAATAAGTGAACGCTTTGACCACTGCACTAACCGGCCACTGTTGAATATATGTGTCTCAGAAATCTTATATAGTTGTGGTTTCACTTCTCAGAAAGGTAGCATTTGCCAATTAATTGGTAACCAATATATTATTCTTTAATGACAGGATCGGGTGGTCAGGCTTGCTGACACATGTTATCATATCCTGAGTCAATGCTTGATGTCAATCACTGGATTATCTGGTCTAGACTCTCAGCCATTCTCAGACATCATATAGCTTGCATGTTGAGGAGTGTGTCATCACATGATTAACTAGCAAAGTTGTGTCCCTAATTACGTAGATCAATGCTCATGCTGTTGATCACTGGATTATCTGATCCAGATTTGATTATTTACAGACTGCTACCATACAGACGGAATATTGCTGAGTGTGGCGTAAAACAACTCAGAAATCATACTGGATTTCTGTCTTCTTCATATTTTATTTCTTAAATGATTTGATGATGTATTATGTGGTATGACTGTATTAAACATCATATCACTGAAAGCTCATGTTTCATAGGGGCGGTGGGGTAGCTTAATGGTTAAAGCGTCTGCTCGTCACACTGAAGACCCGGGTTCGATTGCCTATAAGGGCACAATGTGTGAAGCCCATTTCTGGTGTCCCCCAGCCATGATATTGCTGGAATATTGCTAAAAGCGGCGTAAAACCATACTAACTCATATTTCATAAATCTGCTCATAATGTCCATCACTTAATGTCAGGCGCAGATTTGATCAGTCAATTTCTCTAAAATTGAACATTGAGTGCAAATAATAACAGACAAAGCATCAATACTATTGTATAGTTGATGTCATATATAAGCCAAAGTCTTATCTTAAGCAAAACATTTTGATCAAAATGGTATGTCTGGTAAATAAGCCAGAGCACACTAACATCGTACATCTTCTTGTTGTGATCAGTCATCGAAAATAGAATATCACCAAATCTGCACTGAATTATGCAAGTTAATCTTGTTGTTACACTATCTTGTATCAAAACATGGTCTTTTCATGCCCAAACTTATATATACTATTTTATAAATTTGCTCAAAATGTCTTTCAATAATGTACACATTAAGTGCAGCAAATTCGTGTGTACTTTCGTTTACATCATTCACAGCAACCACTGTCATATTGCCTCCACTTAAACAACTCGAAATGAAATGACTAGTTTACAGAAAATGGACATGTATATGTAATTTTTTTCATTAAAATTCATGTTTGTAATAGCATGGCCAAGATTGTGCTAAACCACAGTGGTGAAAGGTCAAATAGTTCCAAACATAAAAAGCATGCGACAATAGACCAGAGTGCTCCGCCATGACCTTAGTTATTGTTATCATTATTTTACATTTATGGAGCAAAACATGAAGTTGAAATAACGCAATGCTGGAATATATTTCTTTTGGCGAAATAATAGTCTTGGATTCTATTTTTTCTGATTACTGCATCAAAATTCTATATTGTTGAGGTGAATTTCAGATGAATCACCGGCAGATGCGGAAATGTGTGCACAACTCATTGCTATTTCGGGCAAATACAACAGTAATCTTAATCCCTGCATGCAATACAATGCCTAGCAAAAACAAATCAGAACTGAACTGGTAAATTACTTTGTTTTGTGATGTTAAATTGCTAATTAGACATCTTCACTGATAAAACCGTTTTCTCTTATTCGAAGTGACACAGTGTTGTGGTTTTTTAACACTAGAGAAAAGGTTTGATGAAAGTGTAACCTTCAGATAAACTGATAGGTATGGCTTATGTATAGGATAAAGCATGACCCGTGGGCATTATGAAGAAGGAAGGATGTTTTCGCTGGCCAGGCTTTATCCATCTTATAAACCGACCGGAGACATACGTTAGATATAATTTCAATGTTTGGTATTTACTGTTGAAAGCAACTGGGATGAGACTGACAGCCGATGCCTAGCCTTGCACTCGCAATTTCACGTGCTCTGCACGCGCTACCCGTGTCCTGCACGTACGCTGCCTGCACTACCCATTTTGGGAGGAACACACGGTTCATGCCGACAAACAATCTCATTCTTCACAGTGATCCGCCGTAGCCTAGTGGATAAAACCACCAAGCTAGTAAGCAAAGGGTTGCGGGTTCGAAACCGGATGTCGGCACTACATGTTGGAAGTTTTCAATAATGTCATATTTTACGATCGCATTCAGTGATGGCAAGACAAAGTTGTATCAATCTTTAAAACAAGTAATAATTCAAAGTCAAGGGCTATTCCTCAGAAAATCCCCCGGCAGAGGGACGATATGAAGTAATGCCCCCTAATATGACAAGAAATACTGCCTCGCTAGAACAATAGAGTGACATCACTGGAGGTTTATAAGTGCGGTCACTATGCAGTTTAATTGTTTTGCAGAGCTCTGTGTATTGATGCCCTAATCAGCGCTGCCTCCGTCAAACAGAACTGGGTCCTCAAAGAACCCGAGCTGCGGAAGCTGCTACAGCCCAACAACTTTGTAGCTCCACCAAAAGGTGGGCACTGATGTCTCCCTTTGTGATGGATCCTGTGTGGTGTCTCACTTTGTGATGGATCCTGTGTGGTGTCTCACTTTGTGATGGATCCTGTGTGGTGTCTCACTTTGTGATGGATCCTGTGTGGTGTCTCACTTTGTGATGGATCCTGTGTGATGTCTCAATTTGTGATGGATCCTGTGTGATGTCTCACTTTGTGATGGATCCTGTGTGATGTCTCACTTTGTGATGGATCCTGTGTGATGTCTCACTTTGTGATGGATCCTGTGTGATGTCTCACTTTGTGATGGATCCTGTGTGGTGTCTCACTTTGTGATGGATCCTGTGTGATGTCTCACTTTGTGATGGATCCTGTGTGATGTCTCACTTTGTGATGTCTCACTTTGTGATGGATCCTGTGTGATGTCTCACTTTGTGATGGATCCTGTGTGATGTCTCACTTTGTGGTGTCTCACTTTGTGATGGATCCTGTGTGGTGTCTCACTTTGTGATGGATCCTGTGTGGTGTCTCACTTTGTGATGGATCCTGTGTGATGTCTCACTTTGTGATGGATCCTGTGTGATGTCTCACTTTGTGATGTCTCACTTTGTGATGTCTCACTTTGTGATGGATCCTGTGTGGTGTCTCACTTTGTGATGGATCCTGTGTGGTGTCTCACTTTGTGATGGATCCTGTGTGATGTCTCACTTTGTGATGGATCCTGTGTGATGTCTCACTTTGTGATGGATCCTGTGTGATGTCTCACTGTGTGATGTCTCACTTTGTGATGTCTCACTTTGTGATGGATCCTGTGTGATGTCTCACTTTGTGATGGATCCTGTGTGGTGTCTCACTTTGTGGTGTCTCACTTTGTGGTGTCTCACTTTGTGGTGTCTCACTTTGTGATGGATCCTGTGTGGTGTCTCACTTTGTGATGGATCCTGTGTGATGTCTCACTTTGTGATGGATCCTGTGTGATGTCTCACTTTGTGATGGATCCTGTGTGGTGTCTCACTTTGTGATGGATCCTGTGTGGTGTCTCACTTTGTGATGGATCCTGTGTGGTGTCTCACTTTGTGATGGATCCTGTGTGGTGTCTCACTTTGTGATGGATCCTGTGTGGTGTCTCACTTTGTGATGGATCCTGTGTGGTGTCTCACTTTGTGATGGATCCTGTGTGATGTCTCACTTTGTGATGGATCCTGTGTGATGTCTCACTTTGTGATGTCTCACTTTGTGATGTCTCACTTTGTGATGTCCTTCACTTTGTGATGGATCCTGTGTGGTGTCTCAATTTGTGATGGATCCTGTGTGGTGTCTCACTTTGTGATGGATCCTGTGTGATGTCTCACTTTGTGATGGATCCTGTGTGATGTCTCACTTTGTGATGGATCCTGTGTGATGTCTCACTTTGTGATGGATCCTGTATGGTGTCTCACTTTGTGATGGATCCTGTGTGGTGTCTCACTTTGTGATGGATCCTGTGTGATGGATCCTGTGTGATGTCTCACTTTGTGATGGATCCTGTGTGATGTCTCACTTTGTGATGGATCCTGTGTGATGTCTCACTTTGTGATGGATCCTGTGTGATGTCTCACTTTGTGATGGATCCTGTGTGGTGTCTCACTTTGTGATGGATCCTGTGTGGTGTCTCACTTTGTGATGGATCCTGTGTGGTGTCTCACTTTGTGATGGATCCTGTGTGATGTCTCACTGTGTGATGGATCCTGTGTGATGGATCCTGTGTGATGTCTCATTTTGTGATTGATCCTGTGTGATGGATCCTGTGTGATGGATTCTGTGTGATGTCTCACTTTGTAATGGATCCTGTGTGATGTCTCATTTTGTGATGGATCCTGTGTGGTGTCTCACTTTGTGATGGATCCTGGGGGGGGCTGGGGGGGGTGTGTGTGTTGTGAGGGGGTTTAGTATCTGTGTGGGGTTAATAACAAAGCAGAATTGAAAGTCTAGTGAACTCCAGCTTACTGACTCAAAATTGATTTTTGTTTCTGCCTACAGATTGTCAGCTGGAAGACAAGCAGTACAAGGATGGTGATGAGACGCAGGTGGACTGTAATGTGTGGTATGCAGTAGTAGATTAGTAGATCTGGCTTGGTCTTCAGCAACCCATGCTTGTTGGGATCTCATGGGATCAGATGGTCAGGCTCACTGACTTTGTTGACACTTGTCATCGTTTCCCAATTGCATAGACCGGTGCTCATGCTGTTGATCACTGGATTGTCTGGTCTGGACTGTGACAGCTGGAATATTGGAATATCACAACAAACAAACAACAGTCAGGGGCTATTCCCATCACACCAAGCATGATCACCAGCCAAAATTAGTTTTCAAAGTCAAACATACAATATTTTCTCATGAAGATTTGTTGCAATCAGACCTTCACTGTGATATGATCGTGATGATATCTGTACGAAGATCTGTCTACTATGTGGAGATCTGACAACTACGTATTGAGATCTGAACTTTCTTTTTGATGAAACAAATGTCAATTTTTGTTCCATGATTTTGATTCGATAGACTTGTCAATGCAGCCAAACCCCTAAATTCCATCTTATACTACCCATCAAAAGTTTAGACTCACTTAAAGCACTCACCAAATGTTATGTAAATATATATGTTACATCAAAGATGAATTTCTCCACTAACTTGGGGAACCAACTGCAAACTTTATGCAGATGAATTGCACGATGATCTTGCATCAAATTGCTGAAAAGCATGTGCAGATATCGTGCATGTGAACAGCTGTGTTTTGGTGTAAAGATTTGTTGAACTCACAACAATAATCTTTTCAACGTTACGAATTTGTTTACAATATATTAGTTCATGTGTAAACAATACCTTTAAACTTATGGAATATTTTGCAAAATCTAGTTTAGAACAGTTGCCAGAAGTAAGTGGCTACATTTACACTAGTGAATCTAAACTTTTGATGGGTAGTATAGTTCGACAAGGGTGGAGACTGGACTTTCAGTTACCTCCTTGCCCCTGGCAGATGCTCACACATCTTGAGGTGTGTAAGAAGATGTTTTGTTGTTTCAGTGTCTGTGCGTGTGGAGACTGGGTGTGTACCGGGGCGCCATGCGGGAAGGACAAGAGAAATACAGGAGTACCTGGTAAGACTTGCTACAAATATACATACAGTCAACTCTCAGGGCTTGATGGGGCGGTGGGGAAGCCCAGTGCTTGAAGCGTTCGCTCGATCCTGGTTCGATTCCCCTCATGGGAACCGCCTCCGTGGTGTAGTGGTTAGAGCGTCCGCCCAGAGAGCGGAAGGTCGTGGGTTCGATCCTCGACTGCGTCATACCAAAAGACGTTAAAATATGGTACTTGTTGGTCCCTGCCTGGCTCTCGGCATTTATGGGTACAACAAGAATTGGTCGGCTCGGGAGTCAGTATGATGTGTCTGAGAGGGGTATTCATGCTTCACTGCGGCATGGTATCTCAGTGGGCTAGCACTATAAAACCAGCTTCAGCCTGGGCTAGTACAAGCAGCTGCACATACACATACACACATGTCATGCATTGTCGATGCTCATGCTGTTGCTCACTATGTCTGGTCCAGACTCTATTAATATTCTCAAGCATTTAGTCATATAGACGTTAAACCCAATTTCACCTCACCTCACCCCACATGGGAACAATGTGTGAAGTCCATTCCTGGTGTCCCCGCTGTGATATTGCTGGAATATTGCTAAAAGTGGTAAAACCAAGTCACTCACTCAGGGCTTGAAGTCAATTTTGCTCCAAGTCAGTTAAAATTCCTCATCATGCTGTTTTTCCAGCTGAAGTCTGTGTTCATTGAACATTAAAATATTAACAAGTCATGGGTGCAGCTTGTTATGAATATGATATTGTATTTTGCAGGTAAATTCAGCATTGAGTGTGAATAATCTCACTACTGCATTGTGCGTGCGTGCTTGCATGCATCAAATACAAACTTCGCTTGTTAGATGCATTTTAAAGGAGTTGTAACATATACTGCACCTGGTCAACATGAGTGCAATAATCTGATCAGGTCCTGTGTTTGTCTGCCCTCACAGTATAACTAACACTGTCTGATCAGGTCCTGTGTTTGTCTGCCCTCACAGTATAACTAACACTGTCTGATCAGGTCCTGTGTTTGTCTGCCCTCACAGTATAACTAACACTGTCTGATCAGGTCCAGTGTTTGTCTGCCCTCACAGTATAACTAACACTGTCTGATCAGGTCCTGTGTTTGTCTGCCTCACACACATATAACTAATACTGTCTGATCAGGTCCAGTGTTTGTCTGCCCTCACAGTATAACTAACACTGTCTGATCAGGTCCTGTGTTTGTCTGCCCTCACACTATAACTAACACTGTCTGTTCAGGTCGAGTGTTTGTCTGCCCTCACAGTATAACTAACACTGTCTGATCAGGTCCTGTGTTTGTCTGCCCTCACTGTATAACTAACACTGTCTGATCAGGTCCAGTGTTTGTCTGCCCTGACACTATAACTAACACTGTCTGATCAGGTCCTGTGTCTGTCTGCCCTCACAGTATAACTAACACTGTCTGATCAGGTCCTGTGTTTGTCTGCCCTCACACTATAACTAACACTGTCTGATCAGGTCCTGTGTTTGTCTGCCCTCACAGTACAACTAACACTGTCTGATCAGGTCCTGTGTTTGTCTGCCCTCACAGTATAACTAACACTGTCTGATCAGGTCCTGTGTTTGTCTGCCCTCACAGTATAACTAACACTGTCTGATCAGGTCCTGTGTTTGTCTGCCCTCACAGTATAACTAACACTGTCTGATCAGGTCCAGTGTTTGTCTGCCCTCACAGTATAACTAACACTGTCTGATCAGGTCCTGTGTTTGTCTGCCCTCACAGTATAACTAACACTGTCTGATCAGGTCCAGTGTTTGTCTGCCCTCACAGTATAACTAACACTGTCTGATCAGGTCCTGTGTTTGTCTGCCCTCACACTATAACTAACACTGTCTGTTCAGGTCCAGTGTTTGTCTGCCCTCACAGTATAACTAACACTGTCTGATCAGGTCCTGTGTTTGTCTGCCCTCACTGTATAACTAACACTGTCTGATCAGGTCCTGTGTTTGTCTGCCCTCACACTATAACTAACACTGTCTGATCAGGTCCGGTGTTTGTCTGCCCTCACACTATAACTAACACTGTCTGATCAGGTCCGGTGTTTGTCTGCCCTCACAGTACAACTAACACTGTCTGATCAGGTCCGGTGTTTGTCTGCCCTCACAGTATAACTAACACTGTCTGATCAGGTCCTGTGTTTGTCTGCCCTCACACTATAACTAACACTGTCTGTTCAGGTCCAGTGTTTGTCTGCCCTCACAGTATAACTAACACTGTCTGATCAGGTCCAGTGTTTGTCTGCCCTCACAGTACAACTAACACTGTCTCTTCAGGTCCAGTGTTTGTCTGCCCTCACAGTATAACTAACACTGTCTGTTCAGGTTCAGTGTCTGTCTGCCCTCACAGTATAACTAACACTGTCTGATCAGGTCCTGTGTTTGTCTGCCCTCACTGTATAACTAACACTGTCTGATCAGGTCCAGTGTTTGTCTGCCCTGACACTATAACTAACACTGTCTGATCAGGTCCTGTGTCTGTCTGCCCTCACAGTATAACTAACACTGTCTGTTCAGGTCCTGTGTCTGTCTGCCTTCATACTATAACTAACACTGTCTGTTCAGGTCCTGTGTTTGTCTGCCCTCACAGTATAACTAACACTGTCTGTTCAGGTCCTGTGTTTGTCTGCCCTCACAGTATAACTAACACTGTCTGTTCAGGTCCTGTGTTTGTCTGCCCTCACAGTATAACTAACACCGTCTGTTCAGGTCCTGTGTCTGTCTGCCCTCACAGTACAACTAACACTGTCTCTTCAGGTCCAGTGTTTGTCTGCCCTCACAGTATAACTAACACTGTCTGTTCAGGTTCAGTGTCTGTCTGCCCTCACAGTATAACTAACACTGTCTGATCAGGTCCTGTGTTTGTCTGCCCTGACACTATAACTAACACTGTCTGTTCAGGTTCAGTGTCTGTCTGCCTTCATACTATAACTAACACTGTCTGTTCAGGTCCTGTGTTTGTCTGCCCTCAAAGTATAAATAACACTGTCTGTTCAGGTCCTGTGTTTGTCTGCCCTCACAGTATAACTAACACTGTCTGTTCAGGTCCTGTGTTTGTCTGCCCTCACAGTATAACTAACACTGTCTGTTCAGGTCCTGTGTCTGTCTGCCCTCACAGTATAACTAACACTGTCTGTTCAGGTCCTGTGTTTGTCTGCCCTCACAGTATAACTAACACTGTCTGTTCAGGTTCAGTGTCTGTCTGCCCTCACTGTATAACTAACACTGTCTGATCAGGTCCAGTGTTTGTCTGCCCTGACACTATAACTAACACTGTCTGATCAGGTCCTGTGTCTGTCTGCCCTCACAGTATAACTAACACTGTCTGATCAGGTCCAGTGTTTGTCTGCCCTCACAGTACAACTAACACTGTCTGATCAGGTCCAGTGTTTGTCTGCCCTCACAGTACAACTAACACTGTCTGATCAGGTCCTGTGTTTGTCTGCCCTCACAGTATAACTAACACTGTCTGATCAGGTCCAGTGTTTGTCTGCCCTCACAGTATAACTAACACTGTCTGATCAGGTCCAGTGTTTGTCTGCCCTCACACTATAACTAACACTGTCTGATCAGGGCCAGTGTTTGTCTGCCCTCACTGTATAACTAACACTGTCTGTTCAGGTCCTGTGTTTGTCTGCCCTCACAGTATAACTAACACTGTCTGTTCAGGTCGAGTGTTTGTCTGCCCTCACAGTATAACTAACACTGTCTGTTCAGGTCCTGTGTCTGTCTGCCCTCACAGTATAACTAACACTGTCTGTTCAGGTCCTGTGTTTGTCTGCCTTCATACTATAACTAACACTGTCTGTTCAGGTCCTGTGTCTGTCTGCCCTCACAGTATAACTAACACTGTCTGTTCAGGTCCAGTGTTTGTCTGCCGTCACTGTATAACTAACACTGTCTGTTCAGGTCCTGTGTTTGTCTGCCCTCACAGTATAACTAACACTGTCTGATCAGGTCCTGTGTCTGTCTGCCCTCACAGTATAACTAACACTGTCTGATCAGGTCCAGTGTTTGTCTGCCCTCACAGTACAACTAACACTGTCTGATCAGGTCCTGTGTTTGTCTGCCCTCACAGTATAACTAACACTGTCTGATCAGGTCCAGTGTTTGTCTGCCCTCACAGTATAACTAACACTGTCTGTTCAGGTCCTGTGTTTGTCTGCCCTCACTGTATAACTAACACTGTCTGTTCAGGTCCTGTGTCTGTCTGCCCTCACAGTATAACTAACACTGTCTGTTCAGGTCCTGTGTTTGTCTGCCCTCACAGTATAACTAACACTGTCTGTTCAGGTCGAGTGTTTGTCTGCCCTGACACTATAACTAACACTGTCTGTTCAGGTCCTGTGTCTGTCTGCCCTCACAGTATAACTAACACTGTCTGTTCAGGTCCTGTGTTTGTCTGCCTTCATACTATAACTAACACTGTCTGTTCAGGTCCTGTGTCTGTCTGCCCTCACAGTATAACTAACACTGTCTGTTCAGGTCCAGTGTTTGTCTGCCCTCACTGTATAACTAACACTGTCTGTTCAGGTCCTGTGTTTGTCTGCCCTCACAGTATAACTAACACTGTCTGTTCAGGTCCTGTGTTTGTCTGCCCTCACAGTATAACTAACACTGTCTGTTCAGGTCCTGTGTTTGTCTGCCTTCATACTATAACTAACGCTGTCTGTTCAGGTCCTGTGTCTGTCTGCCCTCACAGTATAACTAACACTGTCTGTTCAGGTCCAGTGTTTGTCTGCCCTCACTGTATAACTAACACTGTCTGTTCAGGTCCTGTGTTTGTCTGCCCTCACAGTATAACTAACACTGTCTGTTCAGGTCCTGTGTTTGTCTGCCTTCATACTATAACTAACACTGTCTGTTCAGGTCCTGTGTCTGTCTGCCCTCACAGTATAACTAACACTGTCTGTTCAGGTCCAGTGTTTGTCTGCCCTCACTGTATAACTAACACTGTCTGTTCAGGTCCTGTGTTTGTCTGCCCTCACAGTATAACTAACACTGTCTGTTCAGGTCCTGTGTTTGTCTGCCTTCATACTATAACTAACACTGTCTGTTCAGGTCCTGTGTCTGTCTGCCCTCACAGTATAACTAACACTGTCTGTTCAGGTCCTGTGTTTGTCTGCCCTCACTGTATAACTAACACTGTCTGTTCAGGTCCTGTGTTTGTCTGCCCTCACAGTATAACTAACACTGTCTGATCAGGTCCAGTGTTTGTCTGCCCTCACAGTACAACTAACACTGTCTGATCAGGTCCTGTGTTTGTCTGCCCTCACAGTATAACTAACACTGTCTGATCAGGTCCAGTGTTTGTCTGCCCTCACAGTATAACTAACACTGTCTGTTCAGGTCCTGTGTTTGTCTGCCCTCACTGTATAACTAACACTGTCTGTTCAGGTCCTGTGTCTGTCTGCCCTCACAGTATAACTAACACTGTCTGTTCAGGTCCTGTGTTTGTCTGCCCTCACAGTATAACTAACACTGTCTGTTCAGGTCGAGTGTTTGTCTGCCCTGACACTATAACTAACACTGTCTGTTCAGGTCCTGTGTCTGTCTGCCCTCACAGTATAACTAACACTGTCTGTTCAGGTCCTGTGTTTGTCTGCCTTCATACTATAACTAACACTGTCTGTTCAGGTCCTGTGTCTGTCTGCCCTCACAGTATAACTAACACTGTCTGTTCAGGTCCAGTGTTTGTCTGCCCTCACTGTATAACTAACACTGTCTGTTCAGGTCCTGTGTTTGTCTGCCCTCACAGTATAACTAACACTGTCTGTTCAGGTCCTGTGTTTGTCTGCCCCTCACAGTATAACTAACACTGTCTGTTCAGGTCCTGTGTCTGTCTGCCCTCACAGTATAACTAACACTGTCTGTTCAGGTCCAGTGTTTGTCTGCCCTCACTGTATAACTAACACTGTCTCTTCAGGTCCTGTGTTTGTCTGCCCTCACAGTATAACTAACACTGTCTGTTCAGGTCCTGTGTTTGTCTGCCTTCATACTATAACTAACACTGTCTGTTCAGGTCCTGTGTCTGTCTGCCCTCACAGTATAACTAACACTGTCTGTTCAGGTCCTGTGTTTGTCTGCCCTCACTGTATAACTAACACTGTCTGTTCAGGTACTGTGTTTGTCTGCCCTCACAGTATAACTAACACTGTCTGTTCAGGTCCTGTGTTTGTCTGCCCTCACAGTATAACTAACACTGTCTGTTCAGGTCCTGTGTTTGTCTGCCTTCATACTATAACTAACACTGTCTGTTCAGGTCCTGTGTCTGTCTGCCCTCACAGTATAACTAACACTGTCTGTTCAGGTCCAGTGTTTGTCTGCCCTCACTGTATAACTAACACTGTCTGTTCAGGTCCTGTGTTTGTCTGCCCTCACAGTATAACTAACACTGTCTGTTCAGGTCCTGTGTTTGTCTGCCTTCATACTATAACTAACACTGTCTGTTCAGGTCCTGTGTCTGTCTGCCCTCACAGTATAACTAACACTGTCTGTTCAGGTCCAGTGTTTGTCTGCCCTCACTGTATAACTAACACTGTCTGATCAGGTCCTGTGTTTGTCTGCCCTCACAGTATAACTAACACTGTCTGTTCAGGTCCAGTGTCTGTCTGCCCTCACAGTATAACTAACACTGTCTGTTCAGGTCCTGTGTCTGTCTGCCCTCACAGTATAACTAACACTGTCTGTTCAGGTCCTGTGTTTGTCTGCCTTCATACTATAACTAACACTGTCTGTTCAGGTCCTGTGTCTGTCTGCCTTCATACTATAACTAACACTGTCTGTTCAGGTCCTGTGTTTGTCTGCCTTCATACTATAACTAACACTGTCTGTTCAGGTCCTGTGTCTGTCTGCCTTCATACTATAACTAACACTGTCTGTTCAGGTCCAGTGTCTGTCTGCCCTCACAGTATAACTAACACTGTCTGTTCAGGTCCTGTGTCTGTCTGCCCTCACTGTATAACTAACACTGTCTGTTCAGGTCCTGTGTTTGTCTGCCCTCACAGTATAACTAACACTGTCTGTTCAGGTCCTGTGTTTGTCTGCCCTCACAGTATAACTAACACTGTCTGTTCAGGTCCTGTGTTTGTCTGCCCTCACAGTATAACTAACACCGTCTGTTCAGGTCCAGTGTCTGTCTGCCCTCACAGTATAACTAACACTGTCTGTTCAGGTCCTGTGTCTGTCTGCCTTCATACTATAACTAACACTGTCTGTTCAGGTCCTGTGTTTGTCTGCCTTCATACTATAACTAACACTGTCTGTTCAGGTCCTGTGTCTGTCTGCCTTCATACTATAACTAACACTGTCTGTTCAGGTCCTGTGTTTGTCTGCCCTCACAGTATAACTAACACTGTCTGTTCAGGTCCTGTGTTTGTCTGCCCTCACAGTATAACTAACACTGTCTGTTCAGGTCCTGTGTTTGTCTGCCCTCACAGTATAACTAACACCGTCTGTTCAGGTCCTGTGTCTGTCTGCCCTCACAGTATAACTAACACTGTCTGTTCAGGTCCTGTGTCTGTCTGCCTTCATACTATAACTAACACTGTCTGTTCAGGTTCAGTGTTTGTCTGCCCTCACAGTATAACTAACACTGTCTGTTCAGGTCCTGTGTTTGTCTGCCCTCACAGTATAACTAACACTGTCTGTTCAGGTCCTGTGTTTGTCTGCCCTCACAGTATAACTAACACCGTCTGTTCAGGTCCTGTGTCTGTCTGCCCTCACAGTATAACTAACACTGTCTGTTCAGGTCCTGTGTCTGTCTGCCTTCATACTATAACTAACACTGTCTGTTCAGGTCCTGTGTTTGTCTGCCCTGACACTATAACTAACACTGTCTGATCAGGTCCTGTGTCTGTCTGCCCTGACACTATAACTAACACTGTCTGTTCAGGTCCTGTGCACAGTGGACGTCTGCCCGTGCAGGAGCAGAGGGCGAGGTTCCTTCAAGGGTTCAAGGCTGCCAAGGAGGTGAACGTCCGTGCTGTGCAGGATGAGATCGCCAAGAAGCAATATTCACAAGACATCGCCCAGCAGTTGAACAGCCTGAACAAGGAAAACACACAACACTAGGTATGTCAGATTAACCTTGTACTTGAACCTTTATCTCAGAGATGTTGTCTAGAAAGCATTCTACTGGAACCTTTATCTCAGAGATGTTGTCTAGAAAGCCTTGTACTTCCAACATTTATATTTCACAGGCTCCAGATAAGGGCCGTATCGGCGTATGTACGGATATAAAATATGCATGATACGGTAGGAAATAATTTAGAAAACGTAGCAGATATGCACCACAGCAATAGTGTACGGTCTTAGAATCTTTTACAGACGTATTTATCAGAAAAAGTATTGTTTTATTGTTTATTCACCTGTTTACACAAAAGTAGCAATGTTGTGGTGCATATATGAAACGAAACACAAGATTACTGACACTCCATTAAATTCCATTCATTACTCTAAATGTACTCTTATTGTTTTCCAGTACTCCTATATTGCAAAAATAAAAAGTACGTACTCCTGATAATGAAAACTTACCTGGAGCCCTGTTTCAGAGATGTTCTCTTGAAAGCATTGTACTTGAAACTTTACCTTAGAGTTGTCTAGAAAGCATTGTACTTGAACCTTTATCTCAGAGATGTTCTCTAGAAAGCATTGTACTTGAACCTGTATCTCAGAGATGTTCTCTAGAAAGCATTGTACTTGAACCTTGATATCCTCAGAGATGTTCTCTAGAAAGCATTGTACTTGAACCTTTATACAGAGATGTTCTCTGGAAAGCATGTTCCTCTCAGAGATGTTCTCTAGAAAGCATTGTAATTTGAACCTTTATTGTGTTCTCTACTTGAACCTTCATATCTCAGAGATGTTCTCTAGAAAGCATTGTACTTCAACCTTCATATCTGAGAGATGTTCTCTGAATCTTTATCTATCTGAGAGATGTTCTCTAGAAAGCATTGTACTTGAACCTTTATCTGTAGATGTTCTTCAACCTTTATCTCAGAGATGTTCTCTAGAAAGCATTGTACTTCAACCTTTATCTCAGAGATGTTCTCTAGAAAGCGTTGTACTTGAACCTTCATATCTCAGAGATGTTCTCTAGAAAGCATAGCTCTTTATCTCAGAGATGTTCTCTAGAAAGCGTTGTACTTGAACCTTCATATCTCAGAGATGTTCTCTAGAAAGCATTGTACTTCCAACCTGTATCTCAGAGATGTTCTCTAGAGATGTTCTCTAGAAAGCATTGTAACTTTTATCTCCTGTTCCATATCTCATCTCAGAGATGTTCTGTAGAAAGCACTTGAACCTTCATAGTGGATGTTCTGTAGAAAGCATTGTACTTGAACCTCCATATCTCAGAGATGTTCTGTAGAAAGCATTGTACATCAGTGGATAGAGTATGCTTGCCTGAATCTCAAAGCGGTTCTCAAGTAGCTTTGTCGTCAACCCATGATGTCGTCATGGCAACCTTCACCTCCCTGGCAGCCACTCTGTCCACTGGAACACAGTACATTACAACTGATCTACAAACCTGTGTTAGGGCGGAGGGGTAGCCTTGTGGTTAAAGTGTTCCCTTGTCACGCCGAAGACCCGGGTTTTATCCCCAAAACGGGTACAATGTGTGAAGTTCATTTCTGGTTTTCCCTGCCGTGATATTACTGGAATATTGGTAAAAGCGGCATAAAACCTCACTCACACTCTCTCTCTCTCTCTGAAAGACACACACACACACGTGTGTTATGTTTAACCGTGAAGGTTCGGGCAAAATAAATCATTAGTAACCCTTGCTTATCGTAATAAGATGGTCAGACTTGCTGGCTTGGTTGACACATGTCATCGGTTCCCAGTTGCGCAGATCGATGCTCATGCTGTTGATCAATGGATTGTCCGGTCCACACTCGATTATTTACAGACTGCCGCCAAATGGCTAGAATATTGCTGAGTGTGGCGTAAAACTAAACTCACTCACTCACTGTGTTATGTTTACAGGGGCAGGATGAACCATTCCGGTGCCAGACTGGATGACTTTTATCATGACATCAACAATTCCCATATGAAACCAGCGGCCGAACATACCGACTATAATCTCCAGGTTAATTACCTCTACTCATTGATACAAGTCAAGACAACGTATACCTGTGGAATCATTACGTATTCCATCTCAGATCAACTTAAGTTGTTACGAGCATGTACATGTTTCAATAGTTGGTATATTTTGATGTCTGTACTTATAACTGTTCACTGTTGAATTATCATGTTTATGCTAAAGCATTGTTTACTATTGTTAACTGAAATGTGAGATATTTATATGATTTCATCATTTTTCATGATATTGTTGTCTTGAAAGTATACTAACCTGAGAATCCTTTAGCGTTAAGTCTGTGGCTTACCACATATGAAACTATTTGCACGGAAATTGATAGTTTGATTCTGCATTCCATTATTAAGTTTAGATATTTAAAAATATAAGTGTCATATGATAGGTCTCTGGAAGTTTCTTAGTCTGTTGATGGGATTTGAACCATTTGATTGGATTCTGAACTGTTGTTAGATGCTTTGTCCACAAGACCAAAGACCAAGATCACTTGTAAGAGGGGTACACAAACTATGTGATCTAGACTACCTTGTGTCCAACTTCCATTTTTGTGGAACCACAGTGGCGGAGCGGCTGTGTGTCCGAGTGGCTTAGATCGCCGACTTTGTGTGCTGGCGATTAGGTGCTTGACTCTGAGAGTGATGGTTCAAATCCCCGATGGAATTCAACCTAAGAACAGGACTAGAATCTGTACTTTACTGATAAATTGTAATCCCAAATATAACATATGTTCCAAGACCAAAGATGTTCAGCTAAAGATGTCATTTGAGGGATGACTTCCTGTTCTGGCTGCACACATAATGAGTATGATAATTATCTATTTCTCAATGCTTCTCATTTGGCAAAGATGACAGATACAGAATTCAAAATGGCATTCAAGGGTCTATGTTGTGCTTAAAGTACCTTTCTGAAATATATGTTACATTGTTTTATATCTGTTTATTGTTATCATTCTTGGGTTAATGTATTGTTATCATCACAGGGTTCTGTTTGGGTTATCACTCTATTGTTTGGCAGATAACTTTTACCCGTCTGTCGCTGCACAATTACTGCACAATCCTAAGCAATTTCATTTTTTATCACAAGTAGTCATTACGAAAAAGGAACATGATTTTGTCATGTGATGCTGTAGATCTGGAAGCCATGGGTATAGTGCTTGATGACAACCTCAAAATGTGTATTCTGAGTACACAGGGTAGTTATTGTGTATCAGTATCAGGTTCGTATCGTATATACTGGTCAATAACAATACATATTGTATATCCTGCATACTGTGTATATTCCTGTGGTTCAACCATTCTATTTATTCTTCAATATTTCACATATTCTATACAGATCTGATTCCGTGTGTCGTTTTACACACTTAAATGCAAAGGAAATTATAAACGTGTTTTGTCAGTTTACCACTTTGTGTTGTCAAGTTTTCAGAGATAGGGGCTTTCTAAGCTAGATCAGTTCAGCTGAAGTACTGGGGTAGCCTACAGGTTAAAGTGTTCCTTCATCATGCTGAAGTCCTGGGTTTGATGGGGCCTATTTCTAGTGTTCTGCTAATGTACCGAGAACATCGCTGTAAATCATGTACCACCATTCCCACTTACTCATTCAGCATCAGTGTCAGGAGTGAAAGTCAATGGAAACTAGTATACTGAGGGAAACAAATAAGGGAACACCACTTCATGGCAGTGTTACTTTGATTATTCTCAGATTTCCTCCCACAGCGCGCTATTCAAAGCTAGTGATGAAAACTGGGAAATATTAAAGGAACGCTTGAATTTTCCTGTGTTCCTTTATTTGTTTCTCTCAGTATATTTTCAAAACCTTTATCTTTTCTGCATGCTAATTGTCCAGTGATAAACACTAAACAAACTTGAACAAGGCTACTACCGCAAATACATTTAGAGACAGTTTGTCTTCTTCCTGTATAATGTCAATGATTTCAAACACTTTTAGTTGATAAGAATGGTATTGTTATTTAAATCCAAACAGTTTTGTTTTATTTTAGATGAGTTGAGAAGAAATAGCATGTTTTGTGGTTTAATTATATACCTTTATTGATCAATATTCCTGAAACTTACATTTATATTTTTTTAATTGTTTTCGATCTGTAGGCAAAATGATCGAACAAAAATGGGTTTAAATCACAAATTTGCCCCTAGATAAAATCTAAACAAGCATTGATATATCTCTGCTTTTGTTGATACACACTTAAAAACACTTGTGAATGAGGAAGTGTGGGGTAGTGTTTTAATTCTGTTTCATTTTAACACAGTGTATGTATCGGGTTTGAGCCCATTGTCTGAGCTTGATGTATTTAATTTTTACCAAATAAAAGTTGTAATACATAGTTTCGTGGTCTTCTGTGAAGTTCTTCCCATTTCAGATACAGAGAAGTAGTGTTATCCAGAGCTCCATATAAGATTTAGCTCATGTGGGTACTGTACCCACTGTATTTTTCATTCTCCGTTACCCACTGCTTTCAAATATGTGGGTATTTCAGTGATTTTACTTGCCTAAGTATATGTCATAAAGTTTACTAAGCAGGTTAAATGAATAAAAAATAAAGAAAAGAAAAGAAAAAAGTTTACTAAGCAGGTATGTTCTGCCTTATGTCATACCTAAGCAAAACCAACTTAAATATAATGGAAATGATTTCATACAAAATCACTCATCCTGTACTGACAGTACAACACTTGTCCTATACTAACAGTACAACTTGATAGCATTCAATGTCTTTTTCATTACGCAAGCAATTTTTATAAATATATTCCGTACACGTTTTAAACGTTTTGTGTATCTAACACTTTAAATGCGTAATTGGTATGCAACAATTATTTTTCAATGTGTAATTGGAAATTTTCTATGCATATTTTACCCAAATACGCAGCTTATATGAGCCTCTGGTTATCTAGAAAACTGATCTTGAAATTTATGCATGTTGACATAACACATAGTTTCTCTGAGATAAGAGATTACTTCATGTAATCATCATTGTTATTCTGAAATTTCGTTGTAAGACAAGGGGTAGCCTATTGGTTAAATGTCACTTGCTCGCTAAAGAACCAGGTTTGATTCCCCACGAGCCAAGTCCATTAGTGGTATTGCTGGAACATTGCTAAAAGCGTCATAAAATCATATTCGGTCACTCATCTCACAAATATTGCTGGTTTTCGTAGAACTTGTACGTGTATATAACTTCCGATGGTCAGTGATTTATCAGTTGGATGAAACCTGGACAGTAACGTCTCCAAATTTAGCTAGCCAGTTAGGCTATGCCTGAAAGTTAGTAGCCCTAAAAAAAATTCCCTAGCCCGAAATTTGAATGAAGACACAGGTTTCATCATTAAGCTGCTAATATACTACTCACACTTTGCTAAGGATCACAAAAACACGCAACTTTACTTAAACGTAGATTTATAATTTGAAATTGTATCCATTTAAAACTGGATAAGTAATGATATGGTAACACATCTTTAGAAAAGCAGCCACTTAATCTAACTGTATGCACTAACCGAGTAACCATAAGAATGTTTTTTATGGCACCAATCAACCATTTTGCAAATCATGGCACGCATCATTGACAAGTACACATCGCCTGTCAATAGCAGGTATGGGATCCACAAGATGCAGTGACATACTGAAAACATGGATCCATGCTTACAATAGGCTTAGATATTTAAACCAAATTTGACCCCACATCATAGTTTTCTGTTAAATCAATTATTTGATCCTTAGCAAAGTGTGAATAGTATATGATGAACATTTTTATCAGGCCTTAATCTTGCATGATTTAGAAGTATATTATAACTTAACAAGTCGGAGAGAGTGATATATTTACAAAATGACCCCATGAAAAATCACTAGCCAGTCGGGTCAGTGACGGTGGAGATTTACTGGCCCGACTGTTGTTTTACTTGTCATGGGCAAGCGGGCCAGTGGCTATTAATCACACACTGTATGGGCCAAAAACTAACTGCCTACACATATTGTTTCTACTCGTTTCAAAGCTCCCATCAGTCAGCCATCAAGAGAAACTCCTCTACTCAACCGGGGTAGAGGTTGTGGGCGAGTCAGTGACACTGTGGGCGAGTCGGTGACACTGTGTGGGTTGGTCAGTGACACTGTGTGGGTGAGTCGATGACACAGTGGGTGAGTCCGTGACACTGTGTGAGTGAGTCATTGACACTGTGGAGTCGGTGACAGTGTGGGTGAGTCAGTGACAGTGTGGGTGAGTCAGTGACACTGTGTGGGTGAGTCGGTGACACTGTGGGTGAGTTGGTGACACTGTGTGAGTGAGTCAGTGACACTGGAGTCAGTGACACTGTGTGGGTGAGTGAGTGACACTGGGTGAGTGTGACACTGTGGGTGAGTCTGTGACACTGTGTGGGTGAGTGAGTGACACTGGGTGAGTGTGACACTGTGGGTGAGTCTGTGACACTGTGTGGGTGAGTCAGTGACACTGGGTGAGTGTGACACTGTGGGTGAGTCTGTGACACTGTGTGGGTGAGCCTGACACTGGGGGCGAGTCGGTTACATTGTGTGGAGTCTGTGGCACTGGGTGGGTGAGTGTGGCCTGGCATTCATGTGGAACGGAGTCAACGGAAGTCAACTTACTCCACTATCGGGGAGATTCCATGTAGCTTTGTCCTGACTCAAATATGATCAACTCTCAGAAGATTTTCCTTCCTTTTTAATAGAAGCAAAGCATTTACAAAAATCTTGTACAAACAGTAGGCACATGCCAAATACAGTATAGCTCAAAGCATACATCAACGGGTACATGGTATACATACAATATACATCAACGGGTACATGGTATACATGCAATAGGAAAACTGGTACATGGTATTACACACCATCGTAGTATACTAGGTACATGATGTCAATCAGGACATAAAAAGACCATCCACAATAAGTTATAATATGCTTCTCTCGAGGGTAATATGGTCTGATGTACGTCTACCGGCTCGGGTGACACTGTTACAAAGAGGCGTACATCAGACCGTATTACCCGAGGGAGAAGTTTAAAACGTATTTATCTTACCCCCAAGTTAAATGTAAAAAATATTTTATTTTATTTTGAAGATCGATAAGCCCGCTACCGACTATATGACATGTAAACAAAATGGTGTCTGCCGCTCAACTGGATTTTAAAATCACTGAAACAAATTCTGACAAGCTTAAAATTGATATAAATATGGTTAATACTTTTAAGTTGAATGTGCAAACGATTTAATGTATCAAATAGTTTAAATAAAGCAGTGAAAGTCTGTAAAATTGATGTGTACGTAGTGAACTCAAAAAACAGCCCATCAAACAGTTTTTCAAATCTGTGCACTGCATGCATCATATCATAACGTTATACGATTGTTAGCGAAACAGCTTCTTGGTGAAGAGTTTGGCGGTTACCATGACAGCAGGTAATATTTTTTCCAGTTGTCACCCTCCTGGGACATTGACCAATGAAATTAAAGTATTTTACATGACTGACTGACTGAGTTTGGTTTTACGCCGCTTTTAGCAATATTCCAGCAACATCACGGCAGGGGACACCAGAAATGGGCTTCACATATTTTACATGAAGGTAAGATAAAACTTGCAGTAATATTGCGAATAGGCCACAGAGTTTATGTTCAAATATATTACATGCACATAATGAAATAATCAGTGGCCGCATACATGTCGGGCGTAGCTAATGTTAGGCGTAACACACTACGTCAGGCTTAGCAGCACCCTGCTCTTACACGTCATGCATACCTCGGTTAAGCCTATGCGTTATTCTGCCCGACTTAACGGATTTATGTCGAGGTGCAGTGTGCTATTTTTAGAATTTCGACCGTGTTTAAACCACCGGGAAAAGGCGCGAAACAAATGATCCCGTAGCATTAAACCGTAAGGCTACAAGTACCTGCATTTCGGGGTAAGGGTGTAACTGCGGTACGAGCCATAATCATTATCACCTCTGAGTGTATCCACTATCTTGAAAATGTCAAATCTTTCTGAATCTAAATCTTATGTTCAGATGAAGGTCGTCATATATTTCTAAAGGGTTTGACCTTTCTCTAAATGTACAGTTTCTGTAGAACTGTTGTCTGCGATATTGCTATATGACTTCCGCCATAACAGGGCTACGCCCGGCCTGCTGGGTTGGTTGGCGTAAATACAGCGTGCTACGCCTGGCATAACTTAAGCCTAAGATATGCATGCCGGTTTAATGTTACGCCCGGACTAGAATTTACGCCCAACATATGCATACGGCCACGGATGCCAGCAATATCCAAAGGGAACATGAACCAAGGGAGACGTCTGTATTGTCAACAAATGCTGCATCAGCACAGTGATATTGTTTGATAGTGCTCATAGCAATATTCCATCAATATCACTAAGGGGTACACCAGAAATGGTTTCACACTGTTCACCTTGGCAACTGAACCAGGGTTTCACCATGATAAACACCTGAACAACTAAGCTACCTCATCACCCAGGCTACCTCATCACCCAAGCTACATCACCACCCAGGCTACCTCATCACCCAGGCTACCTCATCACCCGGGCTACCCCATCACCCGGGCTACCTCATCACCCAGGCTACATCACCACCCAGGCTACCTCACCACCCAGGCTATATTTACTAGAATCTCTAAAGAGAAAACCTTATTCAATATTATTCCAGTTGATCCATGTGGGTAAATCTTCACTTTCCACCAAATCTACCTGTCTGGATGATCTTGTTTGTCAAATGAATACTTTATGCTATCATCCTGCACAATCACATGGGTACTGAGGTTACAGGCAGTCATCAAGTTCCAGCGATGGGCTGGAAGACTCAACATAGCACATGTCCCCTGAATGACTTATCGACCCCTAAACGACAATCCACAAAGAGAGGGTACTGTATATATATATACTGAGGAAAACAAATAAGGGAACACCACTTCACGACAGTGTTCCTTTGATTATTCTCAGACTTCCTCCCATATCGCTACTCAAAGCTGGTGATGAAAACTGGAAAATATTACAGGAATGCTTGAATTTTCCTGTTCCTTTATTTGTTTCTCTCAGTATAACTGCTTTGAAACTATTACAAAAAAAAAACCCCAAAGAACATAATTCGTTTCATTGACTTTTGAAGCAATTTGTTGACTACTGCACGATTGCCGAAAAAACAATTTAAACCCATTTTCTTCGGTTTTCTTATAATCCCTTTTTTCAATTTTAATGCGCCACAGCTTAAAACTGATTACATCAGTGAATACTGTTTGTCAGAATGAAATTCCCTTTTTGCATATGAAATCAACATGGTGTGATTAGATGCATCTAAAAACACAAATAATTTTATTTCAACAAGCCTTGTGTTGTTTTTCTGACAGAAAGACTACAATCAAGCTCTTTTTGAAAGAAGCAGTTTAAATCGATTTCTATAATGCTTAAGTACAGTAAATTGAGAAAAGGTAAAAATAAAACAGCAGTTCTGTGACTAGGATATGTTCAGCCTGTGCGATGACTAAACTGAGTCATGGACAGAGTAAACAGGCGGTGGCCGATTTCTCATCGCCAACATAAACATGTGCCTCACTTTGGTATAAACTTAATAGGACTATATGGAATGCTTAATTACAAAACAGGCTGTTAGCAAAATGAATAAATTCAGCACCATCTGTTAACCTTTTGTCAACAAAAACCATCTTTTGAAATGTTAATGTGTTCATAAATAAGGAAGCTAAGCATGTGGTTTGATCTGTAACAGTTTGGTCTCTGAAATCGATGCCCATGATGTTGGTCACTGGATTGTCTGGTCCAGATTCGAGCACTCTCAAACTGCCGTCATGTAGCTGGCACATTTCTGAGAGCAGCAAAAGACAAATGGATTTGTCTCGGACCTTTTGTGGGGTGTGCCTTGTGAATATGATGGAAACATTCCTATACAATGTAATTAAAAGAGGCACTATGACATACATGATTAATACTGATCTATGGACACAAGCAAAACTTTCTACGATGTACACTGAAGGAAGAGAGTTTTTAGGGATGTATTCCTTTACCTATCAACACTATTTAACTGTTAAGTGTTGGCTTCTATTCAGCGCTAATTAACTGTGAAGTGTTGGCTTCTATTCAGCACTATTTAACTGTTAAGTGTTGGCTTCTATTTAGCACTAGTTAACTGTTAAGTGTTGGCTTCTATTTAGCACTATTTAACTGTTAAGTGTTGGTGTTGGTTTCTTCTATTAACTGTTAGCTCTATTTAACTGTTAAGTGTTCTACATCTCTTCCTTATGTGTATCACTTCTACATCTCTTCCGTATGTGTATCACTTCTACATCTCTTCCTTATGTGTACCACTTCTACATCTCTTCCTTATGTGTACCACTTCTACATGCCATTTAAGACCTTTCATGTGCACTATATACATGCAAATATATGTGGAAACATTCATTACCTGATGAATATTGCAAAATCAAATAAAGGTTGACATAATCATAATAAATAACAAACATAAAAAAAGAACAAATCTCTTCCTTAGCACTGAACAGTTGTTCATTAAAACTTCTACATCTCTTCCTTATGGTTGGGTCAAAGGGTTTCTACAAAAATCTAACACCATCTACTTCTACATCTCTTCCTTATAATACCTACATTCCCTTCATACTTGTCACTAATTTTTGATTATTATCATAATATTGCAAAAAGGCATAATAAATAACAAACATAAAAAGAGAACAAAAGAAGCACTGAACAGTGTTCTTAAAAGGGTTGGGTCATATTTTCACAATCAAAATAATTTTTGATGGGCCCATGTTCTTTCACATATTTTCACAATCAAAAGGGGGAAAAAAACACTTTCTGTTATGAAATTCAAAGGTCTACTTTTTTTAGGATACTTCCAAAACATTTATTTTTGTTCATGACTCTCCCAAAAAGACTGTCTTATTTATTAAATAATGATAAAATGTGTTATTCATCTGGGACATAATACACTATTTTCTGGAAAATTATGCAATATTTTCTGCATTACTTGGAACATTATACAATATGTTCTAAATTATCTGGAACATTATACAACAGTTTCTGCATTATCTGGAACATTATACAATATGTTCTAAATTATCTGGAACATTATACAACAGTTTCTGCATTATCTGGAACATTATACAATATGTTCTAAATTATCTGGAACATTACACAATATTTTCTGTATTGTCTGGAATATTCTACAGACCTAAACTGGTCTATCAAATGTGTTTGAATGCAATAAATCTTTGAATAAACATGGTACTGAGATTCTGTGAATATGCAAATGAGCTTGCCTTGCTTGAACTTCGTTCATCTTGCCTTGCTCAAACACACATCAAAGTGATGCCTTCGATCTCAATACACTATTGACAAACATTCCGAATAGGTTCCAGTAGGGGTTTCCAAGTGTGTCACAAACATGGATAGAAATCATTTGGCACTGTATTGAACTGTTTTGTATGAAGTGGGTGGTTCACTCAAAAATTGTATTCATACATGATTTCTAAATGATATACTTCACTGAGTACGTTTACATCATAAACATCCATTATTTAAAAAATGTCAGTATATAATAATAGAATAGAATAGAATAATACTTTAATGCCTTTTCAGGAATTTGTATTACATCAGCAGAGCTACTGACACATTAGAGAGATACCAAACATATTTACATAAATTCTTTGATTTAGGTATCTTCACATTTGTTTAAGAGAGATATGGTACTTGGAATAAAGGATGTACGGTCTCTCTTTGTTTTCACAATTGGAACTTTGTAGCGGCGGCCTGAAGGGAGGAGGTTGTATTCTGAATTTAAGTAGTGAGTACGGTCAGATATGATTTTGACAGCTTGATTCACGGTTTGCCGCTCATATATTGATGATAAACATTCAAATCTGACTCCAGCGATTTTACTTGCAGTGTTAACAATTTTGTCTATTTTGTCTATTTTTGTATATTTTGTATAAGAGATCATTATTCATGTGTATATGTTATTGAGTAAAATTACAGAAGTACTAGAATCTGTAATATACTGAGAAAGTGTAATCCCAAATATAACATGTTAAAATTACATCATAAACCTGCATTATTTAGAAAACGGCATCTCCTCCCCTCTTTCTGTGAAAGAATGTCATTGTATCATTTTATTTCCCAATATTTACGATACAGAAAACAGTGAGAAATCAATGCACCAATGAGTGGAATTGTACCTGGGTGTTTGGTGCGATGAGCCATTGCTGTATCCACTAGGCTACCCCATCTCTCAATCAGTGAGAGACAGCTCTGTTTTAAACAGTATTTCAGATGTCTCCCATATTTTTAATGTTTTGAAATATATAATGGACGCTCCCAATCCAAAAGTCACATAAAATACTACAAGTGAGTGAGTTGGCTTTTACGCTGGTTGTAGCAATATTCCAGCAATATTATGATGGGGGACACTGGAAATAGACTTAACACAGTGTACCACATAAAGTACAATAGTCCTTCATATTTATATTATTTGTCATCTACATTATCTCTGAAAGTTTATGTCTGGATTTTTGTCAAAACGCCAGGATCTGTAACACAAAGAAACAGCTCTCTTAATGTCTGTGAAGTTTAAATTCTATACATGTATATGACAAATGTTATGAAATATGTACAATTTTTTTTTAAAAATACATACATACCATCTTAACATTGGACTATTTCTAAGAGGCATTTTGTATGCATTCTTGTGAACTTGAAACATTTATTTACCTGGATTGATCACGAAGTCTCATTATTTTGTGGTCACAAATGTGGACAGAAACATGTTGGTCACAGACCAGCAGCGTGTGGCTGGAGACCTCCTACCCGAGGCGTGTTCAGAACATGAGTACCCGCGAACGCTAGCGAGCTCTCGATCCTGAACGCCTGTCCCCGTTCGAGCACCCGCGAACCATCCTCATAGCTACCTCGCCAAGCGAACCAAGATGGCGACCATGTTTCATGTCATTCGTCACCACTCGCCCCTTTCCTTAACCTCCAACAAGAAGACAAGAAGCTATTCAGCTCATCCCAGAATAACACGAGATGGTCACGAATGGTTCAATGAAACCAAGCGCTCGCGTCCGTTCAGGGCCAATGCGAGCACTCACAGGAGGCAATAGCGCGGGTGCTCGTGGTTCTGAACACGCCTCTGGACTCACCAAGGGGAGACAACTTGTACACCAGTGACCAGCCATTGTATGTAACATGATCTACATAGTTAGATACAACAGGACAACCAGCTTTAACTACCTGTTGTCCAAAACTGTCTGTCTTCACCCTGAAAGATTCCACAGCAACATCTACTTTGCACACATTGGAAGCTTTTCCTCTATTTTGAGATACCCTCCCATGTATCCGTTGAATTCTTGTTAACCTCTAAGGGACCGTTGTTTCATTCATGGGTGGTGTGCAGAGATGCCAACACCTACAATTTTATCGAATTCCTTACGAGTGAGTGAGTGAGTTTAGTTTTACGCCGCACTCAGCAATATTCCAGCTATATGGCGGCGGTCTGTAAATAATCGAGTCTGGACCAGACAATCCAGTGAGCAACAGCATGAGCATCGATCTGCGCAATTGGGAACCGATGATATGTGTCAACCAAGTCAGCGAAACTGACCACCCGATCCCGTTAGTCGCCTCTTACGACAAGATAGTCGCCTTTTTATGGCAAGCACATGGGTTGCTGAAGACTTATTCTACCCCGGATCTTCACTGGTCAATTCCTTACGAAAAAACAAAACAAACTACTCGACTACGATAGCAATAAAAATATACGAATTTAAACAAAAATACATTGAATTAAACTATCAAATAGCATACGTATCATACACAATATATTTCAACCATACTTTTTTCAGTAGCAAGTTATATGTGGATACTGATTAAGGTGAGTACACTGTTAATAACAATCTCTTAGAATATCTGTATATATTTTTTATAAATATGAAAACCCTTTGGAAAAGTTAATGCTAATTTTGGCCACAAAATACTAATTTTTGTATCAGTTTGGGCCAAAATACTACTTGGGCCAAATCATGGTTGGCATCTGTGTGTGTGTGTGTGTGTGTGTGTGTGTGTGTGTGTGTGTTTTTATGGATAAGCTATGTACAATGTGAATGATACCCCTAAAATTTATGTAAAAAGTAAGTGAAAAAAAAAATGGGTGACCTCCCTTAAGATCATCATCACCCTCCAAGCCATAAATTATGAACGGTCCCTTAGAGGGAACAGACAGTGTGAAGAAATTACATATGAACACATTTTTCAACAATCTCCAAGACATACGTGTACTCCTCTCTCAAAAGCAGGTTCCATCCCATCCCAGAATGATCAAATATTCTCTTCATCCATGAACATTTTAAGAACTACTTGTAGTAAATTGTCATTGAGCAGAACAAACCCATTGCATGCTTGGAGCTAAATACAAGTGAGCATGTACATAAACATTACAAATGTAAATACTGAAAATAATAATAGAGAAATCATTGAATTAAAACATCCATGATATCAAAGAACTGTTTCCTATTTTGAACAGAAGAAACATTTGTGTTTACCAAATTGAAAAGTGACTACAAAAGAATGAAAATTCAAAGTTAGTGCACATGTGCAATAAATGCTGAATACTAACATGATCTCAGGCCTTGACAAGAAAAGCTGAAATACTGATGGTAAAATGTTCCCACTTATATAAAACATTGCTCAGTCAATATTCAATGGTAAGGCTGAAATAACAAAGTCTTTGAATTACATATACCACAAGGCTTTGTTCACTGCAGAACACTTTTACAGTACACGCAACTGTAGCAAAATGAAAAGCTTCCCTCCATTTCAAACTGATGCTTCACGTAGGGCTGGGACGGGTAACCCGGATACCCGGGACGGGTGGGTAATGAGTTGGACATGGGTACCTGTCTCCATTTTGATCATGTGACCAACATATCATTATGTGTGCTATAGATTAAACAATGTAATATGCTATTCTTTCGTGATTAAAAGGTGGTATTGTTTTTGAAGATTTAAACATAATTTACAGTCACTTCTTTTGAATATATTACATGGTTAAAATATTGAAAAAACAAATTTTAGTCTCTGAGCCAAAGAATATATTGCCATTTCTTCCAAATTTGATGTCAGGAATTAACATAACGCGAATCAGGGTAGGGTAGAGTTATAGGGGTGGGGTACCCGTCCCAACCCTAGTTTTAAGATTTAAACAACGACGCTCCACTTGAAAATCCTACATTTTACAAAAACAACAACCCAACTTCCCTGGACACGTTGGTGAAAAGTACTAAGTTTCCAATCAAAAACAACCATATCTTTTTTTCAGTGAAATAAATGTAAATCTTGATGCACTGACTAAAAGAAATATAAACACTATTTTTGTTTCATATATATGGTTGAAGATTTGGGATTTGTTTAAAAAAATTAACTCTTTCACAAAATCCTATGAAACTTGATTGTTTTATAACAACAAAAATCTTTACTGGACATATTTGTGAAAGGTTATTTGTTGCCAATTAATAAATTGTTTGTATCTTCTTATATGGGAAAATTAATGTAAATCTTGCTGCAGTGACTTAAAGAAATATTCATCTCAATGTGGCAGCATTGCCTGCCCACATCTCGAGTTTTAAACAATCTGTCTTAGACTACGCGAACACAAGGGGTCAAGTTGGTGACAATGGATTTCACATGATAATGCTAAAATGTTTATTTTTATGTATTTTAAAATCATAAGATGTGCAGACAATAACAACAAGTATATCCATGAAATATACAAAGTGAGGCATATTATTGAGTCCAATATATCTATTCAAATGTTTTATCGTGTAACACTTTCTTTAACCACCTCATGAATCAAGCAAATTTATCCAATAAAACAAAGATATTTCACTAGAGAATGTGAAACAGTGAACACTTATATTAATATTTTGAGGAGAGTTACCTTCTTTGCCCTTTTCAGGAAACTGTTTCTATCCTCTCTTATAAGTAAAACGTTTCACACAAACAGTAAACCAGTTTGAATACATCAGTAAGGGACATAACTCTGTACGGTACAAACTGCATTGATAAAAGACAGTTAACTGAAACTGATATTGGATAAAAATTTCAAAATGATTCCGTTAAAACAGTAATGGCTGACTGCTTATGTCTACTTGAGAACTGGGCAACTATGTCCAGCAAACAGTCAGAACCAGTTCACAAGTTGACGTCTGCCCTGGATGTGAACAGACACCCCAGTTGAGGATGTTCATCTTCTCACCACGTCAGTCTCCATGTTTCTCCGGCCTGCAATACAAACCAAAAACAGTGAACTACGAGAAACCAAAATCAGTGAACTATGAACAAACAAGGGGTACACACACAATAAGCAACAGCAAAAACGAGCGGGATGAGGAAGTTCTCATTCTCAACAACATAAATATGTCAAAATAAATGTCTGAAATTTAATGTTTCCTACATAAGCCCAACCCCGGCAATGGGGTCCTAATTGCGTCCAACTCAGACCACAGACAACAGGCAGTTACCAATAATTATAACTTCAGACTGCATTATTCACAGAATTCACAATCATATTGTGTCTACTCACACCTCGAAATGAAGTTGAGTTGACAGAAAATGGATAATATATTTTGTTTAGCTAAATATCATACTTATTGAAGCTGGACAATCACATGTCAACAAACTGGCTTGCTTTTTTTACCCTATTCCACATGTGTACAACTGCCGCTTACCATGTTTGTGAGGGTACGTTTTTCACTCCAACTGCGATAGCACCAATTTCCCATCATATTATCAACAATCACGAACTGATTACCGCCTCATTATCCATGGAACACTAATTTACAGTAACATCGGTGAAAACGGTGTGAAATGGCAAACTTATTTCACCCCATTCCATGTGCGTACAACTTCCGCTTACCATGTTCATGAGGGTCCGTATGACCTTATAACATATTTTACATTTATAGAGCATAACCTGTAATTAAAATTACACAATGCTAGGATATATCTGTAGTTTTAGGTATTATATTTTACTGATCACTGCGTCAGAATTCATCCCGTTATATCATTGTGTATGCTTTAACTAAATCACCGGTAGATCACCGAGACACGTACGCACAGCTGATTGCTATTTCCGGCTCTATATACAACACAAATACACACAGTAATCTTAATCCCTGTATATAATACAATGCCCAGCTAAAGCAAATTAGAACCGCAAAAGGTAAATAATCTTGTCTAGCAATGTTTAATTGCAAATTTGGTGTCTTCACTGATAAAGTTGTTTTCTCTTGTTCTTTCACGCGAAACGATATGATGTCGTTTTCTTACTGCTCACCAGAAATAAAGTTTGACCAAAGTGTTACCCGTAGATAAGCTTCTACAGACTGCTTTTTTTGGTCTTCAAAATTCGGATTATCTACGGTAATATAGGGTTCTCATATGGTTTCCTGATAATAAACTGTTCTTCACCAAATCAACAGAAATGAATGTACATAGTTAAGTTATTTATCCGAAGTCAGATGTCTAAAGTCAAAAATCTGTTTCATGAAACAATGGTAAATGAGTATATACCAGCAAGATAACTGACCTTGTCTCAGAGCAGAAGTATCTACGTTGCTTGTTTGTTTTCAGATTGGACGACAAGGACAGCAGGCCCTTTGTCTGGAGTTTTGTCGCCAGTGGTGTCAGCACCTTTGTCTGGAGTTTTGTTGCCAGTGGTGTCAGCATCTTTGCCTGGAGATTTGTCGCCAGTACCATCCACACCTTTGTCTGGAGATTTGTCCCCAGCGGTGTCAGCACCTTTGTCTTTAGACTTGGGTTCAGTTGCACCTCCATCTTTGTCTTCAGGTTCGAGTTCTTTTGCCTTCTCCGTTTCATTCTCAACAGTCATTTGGGAACTGTAAAATGGTCATGTCAGCTGTATCACATCATTTCTCAAACTTAAGCGTTAAAATGAGCTTTTTAAAAAAAACATAAGACAACAAATTCCCCACAAAATCTACACAGTTAACTCTAGCACCTCTGACATATGGACCACCCATCCACAAGCGACACAAATCTACACAGTGAACTCTAGCACCTCTGACATATGGACCACCCATCCACAAGCGACACAAATCTACACAGTGAACTCTAGCAACTCTGACATATGGACCACCCATCCACAAGCGACACAAATCTACACAGTTAACTCTAGCACCTCTGACATATGGACCACCCATTGACAAGCGACACAAATCTACACAGTTAACTCTAGCATCTCTGACACATGGACCACCCATCGACAAGCGACACAAATCTACACGGTTAACTCTAGCACCTCTGACATATGGACCACCCATCCACAAGCGACATATGGAACTCTACACCTCATATGACATATGGACCACCCATCGACAAGCGACACAAATCTACACGGTTAACTCTAGCACCTCTGACATATGGACCACCCATCGACAAGCTACAGAAATCTACACAGTTAACTCTAGCACCTCTGACATATGGACCACCCATCGACAAGTGACACAAGTCTACACAGTTAACTCCAGCACGTGACTTAAGTATTATGATATAAAGCAATACATGGGAAAACATATCATGATCTTTAGGCTCAGAAAGACTTCAATACCTGTTGCTTTAACCACTAGGCTACCCTACTCCCCCGAGGATTATAGAGATACTTGCAACATACAACTTGTAGCACAATTTCTTTCATTAATATAGAAGCCTCTCTGATGACTCCCAATACAATCCAAGCACCTGCTTTAATAGAGACACTTACTTGCTTTTTGTTGTCTTCATATCCAGGAGCGGCTTTGTCTCAGGTGGGCTGAAAGTAAAAAAACATCACGTCACGGGCTGCCGCGCACTGTGTCTCAATACCTGTAGCATGTCTCACCTGCAGCAGCACACTATGTCCGTCCGCAGATCATTGTAGCATGTCTCACCCACAGTAGCACACTGTGTCTCAATACCTGTAGCATCTCAATACCTGTAGCATGGCCTCACCTACAGCAGCACACTGTGCACACTGTGTCTCAATACCTGTAGCATGTCTCACCTGCAGCAGCACACTATGTCTCAATACCTGTAGCATGTCTCACCTGCAGCAGCACACTGTGTCTCAATACCTGTAGCATGTCTCACCTGCAGCAGCACACTGTGTCTCAATACCTGTAGCATGTCTCACCTACAGCAGCACACTGTGTCTCAATACCTGTAGCATGTCTCACCTACAGCAGCACACTGTGTCTCAATACCTGTAGCATGTCTCACCTACAGCAGCAACACTGTGTCTCAATACCTGTAGCATGTCTCACCTACAGCAGCACACAATGTCTCAATACCTGTAGCATGTCTCACCTGCAGCAGCACACTATGCCTCAAGTCAATACCTGTAGCATGTCTCACCTACAGCAGGACACAGTGTCTCAATACCTGTAGCATGTCTCACCTACAGCAGCACACTGTGTCTCAATACCTGTAGCATGTCTCACCTACAGCAGCACACTGTGTCTCAATGCCTGTACCATGTCTCACCTATCTGTTTCTGCTGTCCCTCCTTCTGTCTTCGGTTTTTCTTTTTCCGAACTGGTGATGGAAGGGGTAACAATTAATAGAATAAAGAGATAAAACTTCACACCAGCCCTCAAAATATAAACAAATAAAACACAATTTTCACTGATATATCAACCTCGCACAGGCGGTTGAATCTTAGCACTAAGGCAATCATGAGTCTATGACACTTGCAGCAGTTGGGTGACTGGGCCTAGAGATCTATTCTGATGCTTGCCCCATTCCACAATAGACCAATCCAGTCTGTCAATCAAGACTGGTGCATGCGTCAATTTTGGCCAATTTTGGCGCGCTGTGTGGATTTGTCACACTTATTTACGGGGTCAAACGATGCCTCAGATGCGATGTGCTTCGAATTATGCCATTTACACTCGCTATATCTATTACATATTGCTGCAATTTGATGTGTGCCTTTAACAAAACCATTATGGTCAAGACAAAAGGAATTGAGGTGGATCAAGGAGCGCGATAGGCCTAAGGATCAGTTAAATGTCTGCACCACCGTTCACGAAACCTACGTCTGCCTGCAGATGAGAATTTGCACGAATTTCCACACTTTTGCACATGTGCAACATCATTACCAATTGATGACAACAAATAGCAGTTTAAGACTTTGCAAGGGCTATAAACACGGACAATTCTTGTAACTACAAAATTGTTTTTGCTTAAGGTTTTAGTCGCTACTGGGCATTGAGCTGGTACGCCATAAAGCTCAAATGAGACGGTGAGAAAGCCGTGACACAATGTAAACAAATCTGACAGCGATCTGATTTCGGTTAAGGTCGACCGAAATAGCAAAAGTTGTTACATTAAAGAACAATGTGGTTGATATTGTTGCCTTCGTTCTTAGATATTCTTTAGGATGTTTTACAGTTTCAAAAGCACAATCTGAAGGCCTACTGCAGTACAGTATCTGTTAATAGTGCAAAATATTTGAGGAGTAATATTTTTGTATTTAAACGGAAATATTGTCAGTGTCAGCAGTTGACTATCACGCAATATCCAAATAACAAAATTAATTCAAATGAGAGTCTATAAAACCATGCCTTAAATATTTCAGAATTTCTATAAGGAGATGGGACCTTGAATTGAATTACCTTACTCCATGTGGATCGGAGACGAACACTATGTGAGAAGAATAGTGACTTTCTGGAATATTGGACAGATTGAAATAAAAGTGTATTTCTTAACTGTGAGAACATTATTTGTTTTGAATTTTTGTTACAACATAATTTTGTTACAATTAGGGGTGAGGTGAGGTGAAATTGGGTTTAACGTTGTGCTTGAGATTATTTCGCTCATATGACGACGTGCATGCGTGTGTATGTGTATGTGCGGCTGCTTGTACTAGCCCAGACTGAAGCTGGTTTTATAGTGCTAGCCCACTGAGATACCATGCCGCAGTGAAGCATGAATACCCCACTCAGACACATTATACTGACTCCGAGCCGATCAGTCCTTGTTGTACCCATTAATGCCGAGCGCCAGGCAGGAACCAACAAGTACCATATGTTAACGTCTTTTGGTATGACGCGGTCGGGGATCGAACCCGCGACCTTCCGCTCTCCAGGCGGACGCTCTAACCACTACACCACGGAGGCAGTCTACAATTAGGGGAGGTACATTGGTACACTTTAGGAGTAATAACATAACTGTCATTTTAATCAGTTCACTGGAAATGATAGCAAGGTATGTTTTAAGAATCTCGCTTCCTTTGTAAACGTGGAAAGGTAATAAAATACATAATATTTTTTTAATCAATTATAAATAATTACTTAATTGACTGGCATTTCAAATTCATGTGATTTAAAGGCAGAACAAGTGTTTGCCATTGATATGGCAATGTCCCCCGCCGCTAAAGAATGGAATATCTATATTTACTACTTTCTATTTTTGGGTCACATACAAGATGCCTGAAATGACTGGTGTCTGCATAATCACCCAATGTAGGCTGTCGACATAACTGAAACATTGGGTGCAATGTTTTATGAGATATCCGCTTTAAAAAGTGGTCAAAGTATCGTGGTGACCTTGAAGATAAGGTCAAGGTCACCCAAAATCAACTGGTGTCTGCGTAATCCCCCAATGTAGGCTGTCACCAAATTTGAAGACACTGGGTACAACATTTCATGAGATATCGCGTTAGCAAGAGTGAAAAGTGTGAAAAGTGTCGTGGTGACCTTGAAGATAAGGTCAAGGTCACCCAAAATCAACTGGTGTCTGCGTAATCCCCCAATGTAGGCTGTCACCAAATTTGAAGACACTGGGTACAACAGTCCATGAGATATCATGTTAACAACAGTTTGAAAAGTGGTCAAAGTGTCGTGGTGACCTTGAAAATAAGGTCAAGGTTACCCAAATCGACTGGTGTCTGCGTAATCCCCTAATGTAGGCTGTCACCAAATTTCAAGACATTGGGTACAACAGTTCATGAGATATTGCGTGAACAAGAGTTGGAAAAGTGGTCAAAGTGTCGTGGTGACCTTGAAAATAAGGTCAAGCTCACGCAAATCGACTGGTGTCTGCGTAATCCCCTAATGTAGGCTGTCACCAAATTTGAAGACATTGGGTACAACAGTTCATGAGATATTATCGTTAACAAGAGTTGGAAAAGTGGTCATGATTCAGTGACCTCTGTCAATAAACTCTCATCATCTCAGTGCTAAGATCATAATGGAATGGGCAGTCAACCAGCATCTGAATAAATCTCCAGGGCTCAGTTATTCGCATGATTGCAAGCGTTAATCATATTATGGAATGGGCCCCGGCAACCGCATCAGAGTAGATCTCAGAGTCAAAAGTGCAAGTGTCATAACTCGCCCCGCCCTTAAGGGGGACCTTTGAAACATGCTCACGCACGAAATCGACTGGTGTCTGCGTAATCCCCTAATGTAGGCTGTCACCAAATTTGAAGACACTGGGTACAACAGTTCATGAGATATCATGTTAACAACAGTTGGAAAAGTGGTCAAAGTGTCGTGGTGACCTTGAAAATAAGGTTAAGCTCACCCAAATCACTTGGTGTTTGTGTAATCCCCAAATGTAGGCTGCCACCAAATTTGAAGACATTGGGTACAACAGTTCATGAGATATTGCGTGAACAAGAGTTGGAAAAGTGGTCAAAGTATCGTGGTGACCTTCAAAATAAGGTCAAGGTCACGCAAATCGACTGGTGTCTGCGTAATCCCCTAATGTAGGCTGACACCAAATTTGAAGACATTGGGTACAACAGTTCATCAGATATCGCGTTAACAAGAATCGGGACCTACGTACGGACGGACGGACGTACATACGGACGGACGGACGCTGCTGAATACATAGGCAAACAAACACTATATACTTATCATGGCAGAACAATCACTTGGTACTTATTAACTAACTTGTTGGCTTTTTAAGATATCTTTGGTATTGTAAATAATATATTTACTGATAAGATTATTCTGAAAGTGATTACTAGTATCATAACTCATAATAAAGTTACTTCAACATCCAGAGAACCTAAAAAAAAAACCAAAGGCTATGTTTTGGTAACACCCTGGTCAGGCATTATTCAGTCTTGGAACAGAATAACTTACAAAATTCTCAGCTGACTTTTCATGTAACTGGAATGAATAATGAAACATATATTTAACCCAGATTTGATGTAATACTTCTTAGAAATCGTCGGCTTTTGGGGGAGGTTACCAATATTTGAAGACTCAGCCAAAGTAGTGTTTATTAAGATGTTGGTTTTGGACAAATTGTTCAAGGTTTGTTGATGGTTATTTGGAAAATGAGCTTCATATTAAATTACACACTGGTTTGCAGGAGGTTTCACCTTCAGGACATTTTCATGTGTGTTTTCCTAAACTTTCGTTATGACTGTTACCAGATTTTGAAACAACTTTAATATATTTCTGATGACACTAGTAAGTATCTGAGAAGAGGAAATAGATCAAAATTAGTTTTATGTCCCTTAGGGATATGGTCTCAGATCCAATAAAACAAAGAGTATCATTGTTTAAGAAGCAATAATGTCAGTATGTAAATTTATTGACAAAATGCTTTGAACTTGGGATATATTCTTGGCACTTTACTTACATTAGTAGTTAGCAGTTGAATATCTTTGAAGAAAAAGCAATATATTTGTATTTTGTGTAACATTCTATTTCAATCCTAGTTAATTGTTTGGATAACTGTCGATCCACTGTTCAAAGATTTTGCATCACAGGTTTCCTATTTCTGGAAGATGGGTCAGTGTACAGGTGCAGACTGTATCCTGGATCTTCTTTGTGTTCTGGTGCTGTGACATACCTGTACATAAATGCTGGCAGTTCATGAAGTCCAGTACTGTGGAAGTTTGTAAATTAGGATTCCACAACAAAGTACACATAGAAAAATAAATTGGAAAGGGTGATTGAAAAAATGGAGTTCCTTATATTCAGTGTCATTTTTGGATGGTGTACTGATTTTGAAGAGGGAAATTTTAGTAGTAGTAGTAGTAGTAGTAGTAGTCGTAGTAGTAGACGGGAAAATGTAATTTTTAGAGTAAAATTGATATTTTATACTTATCCTGACTCATGCTCTTTTGCTTGTCTTCTTCTTCTTGCGAACATAGTGGAACACTTGTATCTCCTTATTTGAAGCTCCCTTCAAAATAAAATCACTAATTGGTACTCACCACGAGTTGCTCCCCTTTGTCTCCCCTGGCGGGAAAAGGTGTCGCCACCCTCTGGCCATGTGCTCCCACTCTCTCCTGATTTGTGAGCCCAACACTTGAATTTACAGGAAATCCAAAGTGTTATGTGGGGAGGATGGGAGGAGCTAACCTCATGAGTCAGGATAAGTATAAAAATATCAATTTTACTCTAAAAATTACATATTTTTCCTTATCCTGACTCATGCTCTTTACTTGTAGCATCCCTACGGACGAGGAGGTGGGTAACAGAATACTTTGGATTTATAATTAGTGATTTTTGTATAGATATACTGTAATATCCCCTCTGAGAACTTCATGAAGCCTTAGATTTAGGATG